TCTTAGTGGTAGGATTGAGTTAGTTGTGGGTAAACAACAGGAGGACTCACTGAGAAGTCTCCTGGATCTATTGGGTATTTGTACTACTACAGGGTGTTTGTACTTATGTACTGTACAGTTGATGAAAGCAGTGGCTGATGATGTCAGAGGGTGCAGCCTGTGTGACCAACTCCACTGTGTGAGAGATTTGTGGCTAAAATTTAGAAAAAGGCAGTGTAGCGTGAGAAAATGGAGTGTGAACAAAAATGGAAAGTGCCGCATGACATAGTGTGTGAAAACTACAAAAGAAAGTTGAAGAGGAGAATGAAAATTAAAGGTCCAAAAATTGTGTATCGTAACACTACCCCCCTTCTAAGGTTTGACTTCCAGGCGAGACCAAGTACCGGAGGTGGTAGTTAAATTTTTGGGCATAGGTTGAAAAAGGGAGTTAAAAAGTGTCAAATCCATGCCTCTAAGCTTCCTAGGAGCCGAGGGATCCTTAGAATAAAATTTGCGAACAGTATTGCGGAAATTGTCCAGATGGGCTTCTGGTTCCCACATTTTGTCCTCATCTCCATAGCCTTTCCATTGGACTAGGAACTCTAATTTTCCACACTTCAAGTGTGCATCCACCACTCGTTCAACTTCAAATTCTTCTTCACCTTCCTGGGTGACTATAACCGGCCTGGGCCGGTCCACGCGCTGTCCCGGCAGTGGCCCTTTGTAGGGTTTCACATGGCTAACATTGACTGTGGGTACTACCCTCATTCATTTTGGGAGTTCCAGCTCCACTGCATTAGGTTTGACTTCCTTGATCCAGTAAGGGCCAATCCACTTTTCGGTCAGTTTTCTAGACTGCCGATTTTTTAATTTTAAGTGGTCGGTATCTAACCAGACCAGGTCGCCGACCTTGTAGTCAGGGGCCTTAGAGTGTCTACGCTCTGCCCTGTTTTTCATCTGCTCTGTAGTTTTGAATAGCGCTTTGCGCGTTTCGTCTAAGAGAGCCTTCATGTCCTTGGCCATGTTCCCAGCAGCCTCGTTCTTGCTTTTGCCAGGTTCTACACCCATTCTGGGGAGGTACAATCTAGTAACCTCGAATGGTGCCTTTCCCGTAGCCAACAACTGTTTGATATTATAACAGAATTGGGCTATCTTTAGCCACTTGGCCCAATCTGTCTGCCTGTCATTAATAAATATCCGGAAATATTGTTTCAACTCCTGGTTGAGTCTCTCCATTTGTCCCTCAGTCTGCGGATGGAACACCGTTGATAATTTAGGTTTGATGCCCAGCATCTGGCATAATTCTTCCATAAATTCGCTAGCGAATTGTGGCCCTGTATCAAAGATAACCGTTTCTGGTAACCCATGGATAGACCATACAAAATCTTTAAATAAATCTGCTGTACCAGCGGCGGTAATGGTTTTGTTGGTGGGAATGAATACTACTTCTTTGGAGAAGCGATCTATCACCACCATCACTGAATCATACCCATTTGACTCGGGCAGATCCATTGTGAAATCAACCGATATATCCTGCCAGGGACCAGCTGGTATCGGATTTGGCATAAGTTTACCGGCCAGCGGTTGATGAGAATTCTTAGCCATGGCACATCTCAGACAGGATTTTACGTATTCCTGTACGTCTTTGACCATGCCAGGCCACATATAGTTTCTGGAGATCAACTCCATCGTTTGTTGCCACAGGGTGCCCAGCCACTGGAGTGTTGTGATGTCTATCTATTGCCTTGATCCTTGTGGACTCAGGCACATAGAATTTGTTTTTAAAATGAAAGAGTCTGTCTTTCCATAGATAGTTTTCATTGCCATCAAGGTGTGCCTTCTCTTCTGAGGAGATGTCTTTCTTGAAGACTTCCAGAAGATCGGAATCTTGCCCGATTCTAACATTGGCAACCCTTGATTGGTCTATCAGGGTGGTGCCTTTGTTATCATCCTCAATAGCATTGGCATGATCCTCTCTTCTGGATAAAGTGTCCGCTTTCCCCATAGAGCTTCCAGGCTTATGAATTAATTTATAATTAAACCTTGACAAGTACACCGCGTAGTGAGCCTGTCTTCGGTTCAAGTCTCGGGCCGTCATAAATATTCCAGATTCTTATGATCGGTACAAATTTGAAATTGGTGCCTAGCACCTTCTAAGTAGTGCCGCCAGTGCTCTAGAGCTCTAATGATGGCCAGCATCTCTTTGTCATAAATTTGATAGTTGCGCTCTGTAGGCGACAAACTATGCGATAAATAGGCACAAGGCCTCCAAAGATTGTCAGGGCATTTAATTGACAGGACAGCCCCAGTAGCAAAATCAGAAGAGTTGGTTTCTAGCCGGAACTCTTTGTCTAATTCTGGAAATGCTAATATGGGCGCTGTTGTAAATGCTTGTTTAAGCTTATCAAAAGCTTGTTGTTCTTTGGCACCCCAGTGCCAAACAATGTCCTTTTTAGTGAGATTGTTCAACGGTCTCGTGATTTTTGCGAAGTTTTCGATAAACCTTCGGTAGAAATTTCCTAAGCCAAGGAAGGCCCTAAATCCTTTGACGCGAGTAGGTTCTGGCCAGTCCAATATAGCTTGAACTTTCTCAGGATCCATCCTGATTCCGTTCTCGCCTATGCTCATACCGAGGAAGTCTACTTCCTTCACTTTAAAAATCGGTTTGACAAATAGGTCCCGTTCCTGTAAGTGTCAAAGGACTTCTTGCACGATCCTGTCATGCTCAGCCTCATCGTCCGACTTTGTAAATATCAACAAATTGTCAATGTAAATGACAACACAGTTTTCCATATCCGCAAAGATCTTGTTCATCATGCTCTAGAAGGTTGCCGGTGAGTTGGTCAACCCAAAGAACATAACAAGGGGTTCAAAGGATCCTCGGTGGCACGTGAATGCGGCCTTCCAAGCATCTTCTTCTTTGATTCGTACATTATTGTACCCCCATCTGAGATCCATCTTTGTTAAGATCTTGGCACCAGCCAATTTGTCTACTAGCTGACTGATCAAAGGCAGTGGATACGTGTTTTTAACTGTGTGCTCATTCACGTAACGATAGTCCATAATCATATGCTTCTTACCATCCTTTTTAGGAATGAAGAACACTGGGGACGTCATAGGGCTTTTGGAAGGTCTGATGTAACCCTTCCTAAGCTGTTCGTCTATGAAACTTGACACCTCATCTCTTTCTGGAGCAGAGAGTGGTATCATGTGTCCTTTTCTCGGTTTGAAGGTGTCCTTTGTGAGGCAATGATAAACTATACATGAGATGTGCAGGGCTTTTATAGCTATCTGTCCGTCCCTCAGACCGGAAGGGGAATAAACAAAAAGTGGTCTGAGGAATAAATCGATCAATAAGAAAAAGGAATAACTATCGTACGACTTTGAATGATTAATCAGCAGGTGAGAGAGTTGTACTAATAATAGGTGTTGTCACGCATGTTCTGGAACCGTATCCTCATGATGAGGTACAATCCTGACTAATGCATCTATTAGTATATCCAGGCACTGATGGGGCTTGGAGCTGGTTGGCGAGATGCCTACTACCAGCCCTTACCCATTGTGCTGGCTGGCTGGGAGTGATACCCAGTCTCTGATCTGCAATATAAAGTGGTAACGATGATTGAGAAAGCCTGTGAGGGCTATGAGAAGTAGAATAGCACTGGTCTATGAAGATGCTGTTGGCGCCTGAATCAAGCAGTGCGCTGGTTGGGTGTACTATGCCCCGGGCAAGGTTTTCCACACCAATGTCTAAACAGATCTCTTTTTGGAATAAATATGTGTGCATCAACATATGCCTTGGGATTTCGTTGGGAAGTGGCTTTGAAGAAGAAGTATAGAAAGAAACATATTTTTGTATTTTATTTTTACCAGAATCAAGCACCCTAGTGTTTGTCTCGTCGGGGCCACGCTCCAAAGGAGACGCTGGTACAGCGGTGGTATTGTAAGTATTGTCAGTGTTAACTTTTTCATCATCTTGACCTACGGCATCAGCGCTCAAAGCAGCTATATTAGCCAGAGGGTCCAAGGCGAATCCACAGTCACAGCTGCACATACAAGTACATACTTCAGATAGTAAACTAAGAAATCTATTTATAAATTGGGGAGCCACCCCCTTCTTTCCGTTATTGCTCGTGCAACACCCCGGAGCAGGGGCCACTTTGTTGTGGTTTACTTCATTGTTTTGGGGAGCAAAGGCACCCAAGTGACCTATGCTCCACATTCTTTTCCCTGAGCCTTCATTTCATTGACCTGTTGGTCGTAAAAAAAAGCCCGGATCTCGTTGTAAGAACGACCGGCCAAAGAATAGAGCCAATCGTCCAGTTTTTCTGTTTCTAATTAGCGCGCTGTTACAATTGACATACCAGTACCTACTTACGCTTCACTTTTGTACTTCCACTTTTATTTTCCAAGTCACATGACCAGTCATGTGACCATTTACTTTACTTTACATTTTCGACTTTTCATAAGTCACCTGACCAGTCATGTGACCGGTCACATGCTAGACATCGGACTTTTAACTTTATTTACAACTGTACAGTACACATGTACAAACAACCCTGTAGTTGTATATATACCCCAATAAATCATGGGGAAGGATTCAGCAAGTCCTCCTGTTGTCTAGCACAACTAACTCACTGCAGCCTAAGGGGTAACCACTCCCCATCATCTTCTTTATAGTGTGTTCCTGTGTGCGCCAGAGTAAATAACTCTTGGTCGTTACACGCGCCTGGCGCCCTTGGTTGTTTTCTTTGTTGAGTGGCCTGCACTTTGTTTCTACAATCTCGGGCCATGTGCCCCTCCTGCCCACAGTTGAAGCAGGTGAATCTGTGCTTTTGTCCGCCCTGGACCGTGCCGAGATCCATAGGAGCACCCCGCCCTGGTTGGAACCCAAATGGTTGGAAGCCGCAAGAGTGGTTTTTATTTTGGTTTGATGATCCAGGGCTCCTCTGGGAATCATTGTTTTTGGTGGTCCCGCCACCTTGGTGTATTTTGTAGAGCTCTATGGCCCTACCTATCTTTCAAACCTCCTCCGCTGCTTTGGAGAGATTCTCACTTCTCATATCCTGCAGGTAAAGCTGTTCTGCAATGTGGGGATTCACATTGTGTTCTAGCAGCTCTACTGCATGTTCATTACCAAGACCCCCTTGGATGGAGAGGGCCAAGAACCGGGTTACAGAATCATCCATCCTCATGTTGCCTTGTTTGAAGGAACAGATTTGCTGACGTGCCCAGTCACGCTCAGCTTGCAGTTTGAAATATTTTTCAATCTCTACTTTGAGATCGTCCCAGGTGGGCCACACTCCTGCGGTGTAGCATCCTGAAGTCTTACTTGGGCGTATCGACCCGCCACAGGTCCCTTTAGTCGAGATAACACTGCTGTTGCCACCTCAAAGTCGTCAGCAAACACTTCCCAGTTTGCCTTAACCCAAATTTGGAGCTTGATCCACCATTTGGCAAATCACGCTCTGTCTCCCTCAAAGGCACCAGGGTCAGCGACGACTTTGACTTTCTTATTGAATTTCTTTTCTACCAAGGGGGTTGCTGCAGGAGGATTCGCCAGCAGCTCGGCGAGTTGCATGGTTAATGTCAGGATCTGTGCACGCATGTTGTGCAACAGAGCTTTGATATCTTGTTGAGGTTGCGACAACATGTCGACTTGTTCTCTTGTGAAGTATAGTAAAAAGACGTAACTGAGGGTCTCCGCTTGCTATTTGCGGATCTACCTCTTCCCAGCTGAATATCGGATCTTAATCTCTGACTACCCACACTATAGTATTTGAAATTGTATGTAAAGTTATAGTATTAAACCCTGGTCCAAACAGTTGTCAGGGGGTGGTCCGCTTGTTAAGCTGTCAACCCTTCTCCAGACTGGCAGAGGCAAGTGCCCGGCCTGGTCAGAGGAAAGAGAAAGTGAAGTTTTTTGTATGTAATTCTAATCAACAGTGGTTCCACACCAACTGCTGAGCTAAGTACTCCCCTTAACGCTGGGGGCCATGTATCAAAGGTATTGTTTCTTCTCCCAAAGCACTACAAGGCCGTCGCAAAGAGCGCACCTATCTGCTATGCAGGATATTCCCAAACAATAACCAAATCTCCTTCACCCTGGAGTCCGGGTGCCCAGTGGGACTTTTTGCACAACGTGCGAGAGAGTAGAAGAGCGAGTCCTAATCTAACAACCAAGAGTTAGTTACTCTGGCGCACACAGGAACACACTATATGTTACGATCTCTATTGGACATTTAAGGACTACTCATTTCTTTTTACTCATCGGTTATACCATCGGACCGATGACTCATTTCCTTCACATACATTTCCGTTCCTCTCGCATTCACAGTACCTATTATAGTACTTAGTCCTCAACAGACGGACCTGCCCTAGATAGGACCTAACTCCTATCACCAATTCCTTTCCCTTATAAATACCATGTAACAGCAGTAGTATTCTCTAATACAATTCTACACAGTTTACGCTTACAAAGCTAGACTCCTAAGATCAGACTTCTATTCAGAAGAAGACCAACTCCCATTGGAAGACCTCCACTCAGAACTACGTTCTCGAACTTGTCTTCGGATAAGTCTCTTTACAAACCTTGACGAACCCTCAGACTTTGTTAAGCACTTTGTGCGTAACAAAAAAATTGTATTCTAACCAGAAGTCCCACCTATTTAGGTTTGGGAAGAAAAAGTCGACAAGACGTCGCAACAACCAACAACCAGATCCCAGAGAGCAAGAGGAAGCTCAGACAACCCACAAACAGCAACCCCACCGACGTCATCCCGACAAGAAAGGATAGCAGCACCACCTCCCTTTCCCCAACCAGACGTAACCCGACTCCACACCAGAGAACAAGCAGACGCTTTCTACGAAGCCAGAACACGTTGGCTACAGTACTACGCAGGAAGCCACCCACAGCTACTGCCCACAACACAACACGATCCCCCAGTAACCGTAGAAAACATCTACGACGAGAACGACTTTGAAGAGTTTGCAGCAGGTGGCGACCCGGTACCACCTCCCACTCCACAGATACTCCCTGCCGCACCTGCTCCATCCCATATCCCACCACCACACACCATGTCTAACGCTGCAGCCCCCAAACCCACGATGATTGGGAAAATCGATGACTTCGATGGAACCCCAGATAAAGCCCAAAGGTGGATATCGTCCACCGATCTACACTTTGATATCAACGACACCATCTACAACTCCGACAAGAAAAAGGTATATGTGGCCCTCAGCTACATGAAGGATGGCAACACCGCCTCATGGAGCGAAGCCAAGATGACCGAATACAAAGAGAAGAATGCCTACCCCACATGGGCAGACTTCATGAAAACCTTCACAGCCAGTTTCAGAACGGCAAACGTCAAAGGAACGGCCTCGGCCGCCTTGATGAAAATGCAGTAGCATTTAACTCAAGGTTCATGCTAGATGCTGGGAAAAGCGGCATCAACAACGAAGCCATGATCATGGTCTATCAAAAGGCTATCCGGCCACCCCTCCTTCGTGGGGCACTCACCGGAAAGGAACTACTCACCATCGAAGACTGGATGAGCACAGTAGCGAACCTAGACGCTAACTGGATCAGTGCCAACGCTATCTCGGAAGGAGCGTGGGGCGCCAGAAACAGAGAAAGACAGAACAACAGAAACCACAAAAGTGGACCATCCACCAGCACCAGAAGATTAACCAAAGACGAAGAAGAATCAAGGAGGAAAGAAGGAAGATGCTTCATATGTAACGAGAAAGGACACATAGGAATGAATTGTAGGAACAAAGGAAAGACTCCCGAAAGAAAGGTACGTCAAACCGAAACGGAAGATGACACCAAAACAGTGGTAGAAGAAGACAGGGTCCAAAACATCATGAGGATGTGGAGAGAGTTAGGAGAAGATCAACGCACAGAGGCGATGAAAGAATTGGAAGACGAGGGTTTTTAAAATGACGGACTACCCCGATGTTAGTACCGTCAAAAATGGCAACTGTAACAATAGCAACAATCAATGCCAACTCTTTACGAATTGATTGCTCGTTGAAACAGAAAACCATCAGAACCAAAGCCCTGATAGATTCAGGAGCTACAGACGACTTCATGGACACCAAATTTGCCATCAGACACCGACTCCCCCTCCAAAAACTCCCAACTCCTATAACATGTAAAAATGTTGACGGAACCACGAACAAAAACGGAAAAATTACGCATTGCACCTATCAGAGGATAGATGCAGGAGGACAAAACAGGTTCACAAAGTTCCTATTAACCGGACTAGACGGAGAAGATGTATTATTGGGATTTCCCTGGTTACGAAAAGTCAATCCCGTCATTAATTGGAAAGACAAGGAATTACCCAACTCGGACAAACACTCTATCAGGACGAATCAAACAACCACGGAAACAAAAATCAGGACAACCACGGTAAACGAAGACGTGTATGAAACCATTCATAGATATGTATCCGACCAAACACCCTATCCTCGAACCACGATTCGATTAAAAGTCAACTCGGCAATGGAACACGCGCAGATACATGGAGAAAAGAAGGAGCATAACCTCTTGAACGAATATAAAGAGTATTTGGATGTCTTTGACAAAAAGAAGTCGGAAAGACTCCCCAAGCGACGGGAATATGATCATGCAATCAACATGAAACCAGAATTCATACCAACGGATTGCAAGTTATACCCATTGGCACCAAAGGAAGACGAAGCATTAACGGAGTTCTTAACGGAAAACTACAGAAAGGGATACATCAGGCCGAGCAAGTCGCCACAGGTGTCCCCTTTCTTCTTCATCGGCAAGAAGGATGGATCACTCCGACCGTGCCAAGATTACAGAAAACTGAATGCATATACCGTGAAAGACCCCTATCCACTACCCCTGATACCCGACCTCATCGAAAAATTGAAAGGAGCCACCATTTTTACGAAACTAGATCTACGTTGGGGATACAACAACGTAAGGATAAAAGAAGGAGACGAATGGAAAGCTGCATTTAAAACCAGCAAAGGAGTGTTCGAACCAACAGTCATGTTCTTTGGCATGTGCAACTCACCAGCAACATTCCAAAGGCTGATGAACGACAAATTCAAAGACTACATCGATGTGTGAGGCAATGATAAACTATAACAAAAACGAAACCTGTCTCCTTCTGCACTTGCAGGGAGTAAAGGGTTCAATGAGCTTGAGGTCGACAGACGCTAGTAAATATAGCGAGTAGAGGACTTGGAGAGGTAAGCTTCAAAGGTTTTCGTTGAGGAGTAAAGCGGGTAAATTCAGTAATAGAAAACTAAGGAACCATACATGAATAGGTAAGGCTTTATATAGTGAACTGTTCGTTCCTCAGACCGAAAGGAGAATATACGAAAAGTGGTCTGAGGAATTAATCGACCAATAAGAAAAAGGGAGAGTAACTATCGTACGACTTTTGACCTGATTAATCAGCAGGTGAGAGACTTGTACTAATAATAGAGGATTGTCACGCGTGTTCAGGAACCGTATCCTCATAATGAGGTACGATCCCGAATAAGGTGTTATTAGTATAACCAGACTTTACTGGGGCTTGGAGTTGGTTGGCGAGATGCCTACTACCAGTCTCTACCCAGTGTGCTGGCTGGCTGGGAGCGATACCCAGTCTCTGATCTGCGATATAAAATGGTAGCGATGGTTAAGAAAGCCTGTGAGGGCTATGAGAAGTAAAACGGCAAAGGATACCTCTAGCCCTAGAGCTAGAGGTGTAATGGGAAAGGTGTTCGAGAACCAAGACATAATGAAGATAAGAAAATAATAAAACGGTCCTTACACGATGAAGGTTGGATGATCATATACATGGACGACATCCTCATCTTTGACACCAACATCAAAAGACTCCGAATCTGAACAAAACAGGTTCTACAAAGACTACGTGATAACGACCTATTCCTAAAACTAGAAAAATGCACCTTTGAAGCGGAAACCATTGAATACTTAGGAATGATTGTTTCCCACAATCAGGTATCAATGGATCCAGCCAAACTCGCCGGGATCCGCGATTGGCCAATCCCAAAAGACACCAAAGGCGTAAGGAAGTTCTTAGGTTACGGAAACTTCTACAGGAAGTTTATCGGTCATTACTCTGACCTTGCCAGACCCTTGAATGCCTTACTAGAAAAGGATAGGAAGTGGAACTGGACCCAAACTGAAGACAACGCTTTCAAATTGATAAAACAAAAATTCCTCGAATCCCCCGTAACACAAATTCCTGACTCCTTGAAACCGTCAAAGATTGCTGCAGACGCCAGCAAACACGCCACAGGAGCTGTATTAATGCAACCCGATGACCAAGGACAATGGCACCCATGTGCATTTTTCTCCAAAACTCTATCCCCCGCTGAAAAGAACTACCAGATCTACGACAAAGAGTTATTAGCGGTAATGAGAGCTTTAAAAGAGTGGAAACACTTACTTTTGGGAAGCCCCCACATGATCCAAATCCTGACAGATCACAAGAACCTGACGTACTGACAAGAAGCCAGGAAACTCACACCGCGACAAAGAAGATAGCAGCTGGAACTGTCACAATACAATTACACCTTGGAGCACGTACCAGGAACCCACATGGTGGTACCCGACGCACTCTCAAGAAGACCTGATTTATACGTTGAAACAGAAGGAGATGACGATGACACGCCAATGATACCTGCCTCAGTGTTCCTGTATCACACACGAACGATTAAAAACACAGTCGAGCAAGCCATGATCACAAACAATAATTATCCAGGAAGAACAAAGAAAGACGATTGGAAAAAAGAAGAAGGACAGTTCTTTTATCAGAATAAATTACTGATTGACGAAGTAGAAGAACAAAAGACGATCATCAAAGATCACCACGATTCCCTGTTCGCAGGACACCCAGGAAGGCTCAAAACCTACCAGTTGATCAAGAAGGCCTATTGGTGGCCAGGAATGATGAAACAAGTGGAAGAATACGTGAAAGGATGCGCAACTTGTCAACAAGCGAAAGTAAACACGCATCCCACCACCGTACCATTAATCCCAAACCAGACCCCAAAAATCACTGAACCAATGAAGTACCTATCCATAGACTTCATAACTGATTTACCAGAATGTTCAGGATACGACAGTATAATGGTCGTGGTAGACCAAGGTCTTAGTAAGGGGGTAATCCTCTCACCTTGTCATAAAACCATCGACGCACTCGAAACTGCACGAATCTTTCACGATTCCATCTTCAAACAATTCGGATTGCACGATAAACTCATATCCGATAGGGGACCACAGTTCACCTCTGAAGTATCCAAAGAACTCCACAAACTCCTGAATATTGAAACTGCACTCTCCTCTGCGTATCATCCCCAGACAGATGGACAAACGGAACGATCCAATCAAGAACTGGAGATCTACCTCCGCATATTTTGCCAGAACCAACCACACAGCTGGGCAAAATACCTTACAACCGCCGAATTCTGTCACAACCAAAGACCACACTCCACGAACAACCAATCGCCATTCTACCTCCTCATGGGATATGAACCCCGAGGAATCCCGACTAAACACAGATCCATGAATATCCCATCAGTGGAAAAACGATTATCCGAACTGCTTAGGGCAAGGGAAAACGCCCTAAAAGCACACAAACTTGCGAGAAACAAGATGATGAAACGAAACAACGGAAAGTTCACGCGATTCTCCGAAGGACAAAAGGTGTGGTTAGAGAACACCAACCTGCGAGAAAAAGCCACCGAATACAAGAAGTTCAATATGAAACGCATCGGACCTTTCCGCATCCAAGAAAAGATTTCCCCGGTAAACTACCGACTATCCCTGCCTCCCCATTGGAGGATACACAATGTTTTCCACGTATCCCTTCTCACGCCGTATACGGAAACCAACACTCACAGCCCGAACTTTATCCGACCACCACCTGACCTGGTCAACGAAGAAGAAGAATACGAAGTAGAAAGTATTCTTAGACACAAACCCTGGAAATGTGGGCGCCGCTACCTGATTAAATGGCGCCATTACCCTCATTCCGAAAACTCATGGGAACCGGAAGAACACTTAACCAATGCTGCAGAGATACTGGAAGCCTATAAGAAGGACCACAAGCTGCGTTGAAGAGACAATCACCCCACTACCAACAATCCTCTGTCTCTCAACACAAAACATGTCTACTTCTAACTCCACCGGCTTCCCTATCACCACCTACTCGATACCCGGCGACGCCAATTTGCTAGCCGACAAACGAGTGTCTTTTGCCCGTGGGCAACGACACAACCAAGCCGACGTCACTGACGCCATAGAATTAATGTCAGCAAAAGACGCCTATACCTATCTCTTTTACGAGACCAAAAAACGCTGCCCCCATGCGTATCACGCTCTTTCTTCCATGCATACCTTCCTTGCCATAGACCTCATAGCTGACGAACTCCTAAAAGCCATAAACTCAATACATTCGTTGGAAAGCAAGCATTTGCGGCTCAACAATCAGGACTTGAGTATTTGTCGGGCACTCTGGATGGAAAAGTTAGTTTTGGAATCTTTGGAACGACGCTTGAGGATGAGCTCCTCGAATGGGCAGATGGACTCGGCAAAGGAATATTTGGAATCAGGTGGGAGGACATTGCTAAACGAAGCTCGCACGCAGATAGAGCGAGACGGTTGTACGAGTACTCCTCCACCCGGTTTGTCCCTCCGGTCCCTGTCGCACCCAGACCAGACCAGTGTTACCCCGGAGCGCACTTACCACATCATCACCCGTCGACCTACGCCCATCCCGTCGGAGGAAAAATATATTCCCACCGTCCCAACCAGCCCGATCTCACAAGAGTCGAGCCACTCCAGTCCCCGTTCCATTGGGTCGAACCCAAAACCACCGTCTCCCCCATCATCTCCACCTCGACCAGTGCCAAACACCCAAACCCGTTGCCTGACGAACTGACGAGGAGCCCGACGCGGCCGGCAAGAGGTGATACTCCAGATCCCCGCTGCCAGAACTCCATCAAAACAGCAGTCTCGTATGTCGAAGGGACAGAAAGACAGTCCGCCTGGCGCAATGCACAGGCCTGAGACTGGCTCTTCCTCTAACCCAATCAACGTAGATGATGACGTAGCCATGATCAATCAGTTGTACGCAGGAACGTACGACCTGGGAGATGACGATCCAACTACTCCCCAATCTGACACCTCATCCAACACCCGACGAAGATACCATGAAGGCATTCGTAATAATGCTCCATACTGCCAAAACTGCGGTTGGAGCGATCATCGCACATACTATTGTGAGGCCTACTATTGCCCCGACTGTGACCGTCGTGCACCGGGACATAGTTTCAATTGGTGTCCCATCCGCAGGGAAGACGAGGATAAGATTCTGATGGAAGGATTACATGGAGATGTCAGCTACGACGACAGTTACAATATGGACGGCGAAGGTACCGAATTTCGGTGAAACTCGGAGCAAGTAAGGGGGTAATGTTACGATCTCTATTGGGACATTTAAGAACTACTCATTTCTTTTTACTCATCGGTTATACCATCGGACCGATGACTCATTTCCTTCACATACATTTCCGTTCCTCTCGCATTCACAGTACCTATTATAGTACTTAGTCCTCAACAGACGGACCTGCCCTAGATAGGACCTAACTCCTATCACCAATTCCTTTCCCTTATAAATACCATGTAACAGCAGTAGTATTCTCTAATATGATTCTATGCAGTTTACGCTTACAAAGCTAGACTCCTAAGATCAGACTTCTATTCAGAAGAAGACCAACTCCCATTGGAAGACCTCCACTCAGAACTACGTTCTCGAACTTGTCTTCGGATAAGTCTCTTTACAAACCTTGACAAACCCTCAGACTTTGTTAAGCACTTCGTGCGTAACACTATAAAGGTAGTGATGAGGGAGTGGTTACCCCTTAAGCTGCAGAGAGTTTGTTGGTATACAACAGGAGGACTCGCTGAGGAGTCTCCTTGATCTATTGGGGTTTATATACTGTTACAGGTTTGTTTGTACATATGTACTATATACAGTTGCTAAAGGCAGTGGCTGATGTTGTCATAGGGTGTAGCCCGTGTGACCAGCTCCACTGCGTGAGAGACTTGTAGCTAAAATAAGAAGAAAGCAGCGCAACGCAAGAAAGAGGAGTTTGAAAATTGTGTTATTGTAACACTATCATACTGCCATGATACTGGAGGCTGCACCTGATCCACGCACAGATGCACCTGCAGGTATTCTTGCAGGTCAACAAGTTATCTGTGGGTTGGTATGGGTGTGCAGTAAATCAGAGGTGTATGTTGTTACAATTGACATACCAGCACCTACTTATGTAGATATTATATTACATAAGTGAACTTCAGAGCTTTGCTCAAAGTGTTACTGTGTGATTATAACTGGCTTTTTTGTGGCTATCATTGTTTTTTCACATGATATTTATATATGTTTGTTATATAAAAAGCTTTGTATTTATGTTGTTATGGCATTGATTTGCCCAAAAATCCTTCTCCCACATTTGTTCCTGCACCCTGAGGGACCAAATATCCAACGACTTATGCTTCACCTTTCTGTACTTTTACTTTTCATTTTCCAAGCTACATGACTGATTATATGATCATTGACTTTATTTTACATTTTGGACTTTTCATAGTCACATAGCCAATCATGTGACACATCACCTGACCAGTGTCTAGACTCATTATGTGACTGGTCACATGCTAGACATCAGACTTTAAACATTATTTACCACTGTACAGTACTTCATGTATTGTAGTATAAATACCTGAGCAATACATGGGGAAGGACTCAGCAAGTCCTCTTCTAGTGTATACCAAAAAGTTCCCTCTCTTGATGAGTTGTACCATTTATTCCATGAGTTGTAGCCTTTGAGGCTGTGCTCCAGTACCCCAAGATTATACCTTGTTGGTGTTGTCACATAAGTATTATAGTGCTACTTCAAGTCTTTTATGATATACAATTTTCAGACTTACATTTTTTCTTTCTCTGCTTCAACTTTCTTAGTTTTCACACACTTGTGCCATGTGGCACTTTTGGGACAGCGTGTAGACCGGCCCGGACCGGTTGTAGTCACCCAGGAAGGTGAAGAAGAGTTCGAAGTCGAACGGGTGATGGACGCACGCTTGAAGCGTGGAAAACTAGAATTCCTAGTCCTATGGAAGGGCTATGGAGATGAGGACAGAATGTGGGAACCAGAAGCCCACCTGGACAATTCCCGTGATGCTGTTCGCAAATTTTATTCTAAAAACCCCTTGGCTCCTAGGAAGCTTAGAGGCATGGGCTCAAAACTTTTTAATTCCATTTTTCAACCTATGCCCGAAAATGTAACTACCACCTTTGGTATTTGGTCGAGCCTGGAAGTCGAGCCTTAGAGGGGGGGTAGTGTTACGATAACACAATTTTCGGACCTTCCCTTTAATTTTCAAACTCCTCTTTCTTGAGTTGCGCTGCTTTCTTCTTATTTTAGCTACAAGTCTCTCACGCAGTGGAGCTGGTCACACGGGCTACACCCTATGACAGCATCAGCCACTGCCTTTAGCAACTGTATAGTACATACATACAAACAAACCTGTAACAGTATATAAACCCCAATAGATCAAGGAGACTCCTCAGCGAGTCCTCCTGTTGTATACCAACAAACTCTCTGCAGCTTAAGGGGTAACCACTCCCTCATCACTACCTTTATAGTGTGTTCCTGTGTGCGCCAGAGTAACTAACTCTTGGTTGTTACATGATAGTGTCTTCACCTGCAGATACTACCTGGGTGGTACCCAGGTGCATCCATGGCAGGCCCTAGAATAAATTAAATGGGTTAAACACTACATACAGTACTATACAATGTATACTGAGCCAAGTGTTGTGATGTCTGACATAAGGATCTCCATTCCACAAACAAACAATAAAATGAAAACTATATATATCAATCTTCTTATTTACTTGACTTTGGTCAAGCATGAGGCAAGGGATCACCCATTGAGAAAAAAAAGTGGTTATCTATAGGAGCAAGATTAAAAGATACTAACTGACCTCCAGATCAGAAAGGATGAGTAATCTGGTGGTCATAATCTGGTGGCCATGGAGTCCCACACTGAAGGTATGCTAAACCATTTCCCCAGGGTGGGGGCCTGCTACCTTAATGAATCCCTAAACTATGTGTATAGCCCTTGTACTTTGAATATGATCCAGAGAACTGTTGAAAGAGCTGTATCAGCCATCAAAAATAGAGAACTTTGATGTATACTTTGGAGATCAGTTACCTTTGTAACATAATCCTGAAGCTATGTTTTTGTTTCAATCAAGTACATATATAGCAGAAGAACCTCGGATAATAGCGACTGGCAACAGGGTTGCTGCCAAAGCTAATGCCAGACAATATCAGGATGATCTGGTCAGTGCATGATTCCCTAGACCTCGGGTTTCGCACATCGGCTGTTCTCCATTTCGTCGACGACGGCTTCCGATAATCTGGTGGCTGATATAGCAGGAGAATATGCCTTAATAAGACAGGAGGCCAATGATTGCATCGACGCAAGTATGATCAATCAAATCGAAGAGAGATAATCGTCATGTAGGAGCATATGTTTTTTCCGTATCATTCCAAGAACGTCTTCATTTGATGAATGAAATGAAATAGTGTGACACCAATAGTGACTCACCAGACATTATCAGAAGATCACAGAGCGAACATATCAATGTGAAGATCCTATAAATCATACCACCTTCAAGTTCGAGGCACTGTCCGAAACAAGCCAGACGTATCAGTGAACCCAGAAGGTAACCGAACATGCGTCCCTAACCATGGTCTGTCGACGTCGGCCCAACATGTAATGCCCATTTGAGTCGATATCACAGTGAAGACTCATCTGCAACGAAGTAGGTACAAACCGTGTGACTGCAGCTTGAAACCTTACTGCTTGCACATACACGTTTTCATGGTTTCATGCGAAGATGATCGTTATTTTGATGTACCAGCATCTGAGTTATGGAAGTGAACGGGGCCTAGAGAAAGAATGGATACTGACTGCGGTATGAATTTTCAATATCGAATCTCAGATCTTTGGTCAACGGGCAACGTGTTGGCGGCGTGATTCCCAGCACGAAGGAGAGACTGCGGAAATGTCCATCATCACTGGTTCAGGTTGATAACTTACCATTCATAACTGTTACCGTAAGCATCACAGCTGACATTGTCACAGCCTGATGGTCACCAAAACCAACACGACCCCGAGAGAGTCTCAAAAAAGCCTCAACATCAATGAACGTTTCGAATAAGATAAGAGAGTACTAAACTCGAGACTCAAATTGCAAGTGGTGGTGCAAGATGGGCTCAGGCTATTAACGGAAAGCTCCGTAGTATCCTTTATTTCGGTTGAATAAGTACAGTTAATTATACACAAGAAGTGATGGGTATGCGGCAACCTTGTTGTTATGTGTAAAGACAGGAAGATAAGCCACAGTGATGACAGTCTGTCCAAGTCACACACTTCTACTTGCTAACTACTGTGACACAGTTCAACGTTCAACACTTGTAGACTCGCCAGCACTGTGACAACCCATCAGCGCTAGCAACGAAAGTGGGTAACTAGTACTTCAAAATGTTTCAACATGATTTAAGTCCGAGTACTGTGATAGTACTAGTGTAACATGTCCTTTCTGATGTGAGTAGATGGTCAAATTGATAAGGGGGTATCTATAGGCGCTACCACAGCCAACATCCGATCATCGCTGCTGGTGGTTGCAGGGTCTTCGGGATGTTAGGTCGGCGAACGTTCTATTGCTTTAGGACCACTCGGAGTGCGAACAAGCCCCGATGGACTATGGCGGCGTTCAAGCTATTGGCGCCGACTTTTCCCAGTGAAAAGTTGTCGTTGACACGTCCCGAGAACGCACGACACGAACAGTCCTCAGCGCCTTCATGCCAGTCATACTCGACATCATAACTTCTCTAGTTGCGATTCGCCATATGAACGAATTGCGAGCTCTCCTACTTGATTTAAATTAGTTAACCATATTCTCATAAATCATATTTCCAAGTGTTCAAATTTCAATCGTCATGAGGTTGCATGGCCTCAAAGGTAAATAGCTCGTTTTCGGGGTATCGGGGTGGTGGTCTCGTTGAAGGACGAACAGCGACCTGAAAGCCAGGGATCAACTTTGATAAGCATAGCAGATACGATATACGTACTTGAACAAAGCCCTCTTTACTTGGTATGGTCCAACTGCGGTCTCGAGAAGCAGTCTCTATGCTGCAGGAGGGTCAGCGCTGGTTGAAAAGAGAGGAGAGGAATGTTGAACTCACGTATATGCCTTCTGCGATGGTTGATATACAATGTTCCACTCTTCAGGTGGAGGAGATGAAAGGAGGATGGCGGAAAGGTGTCCGTCTACTGTGGCTGTGGGGCTACCAGCCCAAAGTTGATAACGACCGTTATCAAGTGCTTCAACTACAAACTTTGCACAAGGCGAATGTCAAAAAATACATCAGATCGACGGGAGATATGACTTACTTGCTGCACATCATGATGTGCTGGAAGCGAGAACACCTTCTTAGGAGCAAGATCTTGTTGTTCTCGCTTCGAGCGACCGATGCAGCCATCCTTCACTGCGACGCTTCTGATGATGTAGGTTCCAGTCTTTAGCTTTCTCGACATGATGAAGAAATGGGGAGTTGGGGAGGTTGGTGAAGATGGAGGGATTTGGCATTGCTCGACTGCCTTTATATGCTGCAAATGCTGTAACGTATGGTTGTCTGTAGGGAACCTAACGCCGTTACTTCGTGGTAAGCATAACACAGACTAGGCGAGTCAATTCACTCACCTCGAAGAGTGGGCTTCTTGCCGATGTGACCTGTGGTGATGAAAAACACGAGTTAAAAACGAGGATTCAGGATGAGTATTAGGAGAGCACCACTTTGAGCCGCTATTTCGTTTGAAGAGAGCCATCCTGACGACCTTGTGACTCCGACTCCTCGGATATAGTAAGATTATCTGCTTATCTGTGGCACGAAACCAGCCGTACTTTTACGAATTGGATGAGGAGTTAGCTTCCTTTAAGTAAGTTATCCAGATGGCCGCATAATCCTCGTATGGAGACACCGTACAGGTGGGGGAATGTGTAACGCCCTTTGTAGCTGACGTTATAAAGCCTGGGAGAAGAATCTAGTCCGTCGTGGACTTGTAACAGACCAGTAAGTGATGGCTTGATCGGGTGTCAGTGCATTTCGGAGTCCAAAGAAAGGTCGATAGAAGAATTTTGTTAAAAGGGCAGTGCAGGGCTGGATCCTCGATGCAGGACAGACATAACAGCAACTCACGATATCTAGCTCCGCCCTGTTTAGCCTTGCCATGCAGATTTCGGGAAATCGGTACGATGAGGATGTGATTAGATGAGAAACGCTCGCCTTGACGCTCGCCTTAAAACGCTTGCCGACACATCTTTCAAATGCCAGCGAGGAACAAGGTGGTATAAGTTCCAGGATGGGAATCTAGCTCCTCATTCTACGGTATAGACGTCAAGATGACGAAAGGTGGTGCGTAAAGAGCAGCTGCTTTGACATAATCAAGCGAAATGGGACATCACTGTACCGCCATGAAGAACGGGATAAAAGAATAAAAGAATTGAGTGAGAAGTTTGCGGTTACGAAAGCAGAGTAGAGCTACTTACGGGTACCTTAGTCAAAAGCCAAAATGAGAGAATCTTACCTGTGCATCTGTATTGCCGGCTACATGATGCGAGGGAATGCTGTAAAGAACAGTCCAGCTTTGCAGACGCTGAGGGCGAATCCGAAGTGAAGTCTATGGAAGACCGTTCATGTTCGATACATTGGAGCTAGTGCATAGCATGAGGTGTATCACAGGCCTGAGACGACGACGAGCTAATATTGGAGTAGTGATGATCCGTTCAAAGCTGGAGTATAGAATCCGACTGACAGGGGTGAACCTGACCTGTCAGCTCCAAAAACATACGTCGTCGCTTGTGGAGGCAAACTGACAGCACCCACTCAGTTCAGTTGAAAGGCAATGGAAGAAACAACGAGGGTTGGGCCTGTGGGGTGCTGTACCGCCTAGAAGAAATTTCTCTTAGAACGAATTCGGAACATGACCATGATTCACATACCGTGACCATTCATAAAAATAGACATCGAGGACGTCGCATAGCCCAGCAAGCCGAGCATTATCATTGGTAACATGCGGCCTGTTTCATTCAACGAAACGGTCGCCCAATCGACATTACGCGGAGTACACGCACATTAAACACATGCCTCCATTCTGATCAGAAAGCCAGATGTGATACAACACCTTTTGCGTTCCTTCGGCGATAAAACGAACAGAAGCCAGCACAAAGTGGTTCACTTTATCTCCGAAGGAGCTGCTCCGAGATTCAGGGTTTTTGCGTGTCATGGTGAAGTGCTCCTATGACCACTAGTCCACTGACTTTACAATGACTGGGGGCTGCATGGGTCCGAGTATATCCTGAGCTAAGTGTCAAGCGTATGGGCCGTAAAACGCGTGTATGGAATTGCACGTATCGAATACTAGTACTCCATACTAGTATACGGAATGACATGGCACATCTGGTCAACTTTACACTCGAGTGCACGAGTGTCTCTTTTACTTATTCAAGCTCAGCGCGTAATGATACACTGCCACCCCAGGCCTCCAAGTCAGGATTGAGTTGCCCCCCAGGCTAGTAGAAAGTATTTTGTGTCGATATCTTTTTGCAAATCTCCACATAGACAAACTCAAAGAAAAGGCCGAAATATTTTGTGTCTGTATTAATCAATGCTAAAGAGGGTATGATCGAGGTAGAAATGTCTATCGGAATAAGGGGAGAGCCAGAATTTCAAGTTTGACCAGCGGAAGCGTGTATGCTTAGTCCAAACACGCCTGAGCCCCACCGTTTAGGTCCCGCGACGCAGCCGGGTCCTGATCCCAAATAGCAAAGAGGAAAAGCGCCAACATAGTATAGCACCTTCCAGTAGAGCATAGACTCCAACGTACCTCTGAGACATCGGAGACGAACGAGTTAAGTTCCTTGATAACTTTATTAAGAGCTAAAGCCGCTAGCACGGGAGGATTACTTGCATGTACGGAAGAGTGACGACTGCATTTGGACTGAGGTCTCAGAACCTCCATGCGGTCAGACTATGGTCATCCTCCTCGGCAACAAACCTTGAGCCGGTAGATACTAGTTATACAGGCTTGTTAGATAATGGCTCGAGGTTCTGGTGGCCGGTTTTGGTGATCTAAGGTAAACGTGTAGCTATACCGGGTTGGGACTTATCTATAAGGAGAAAATGGGGTGGTTCTGTTAACGAATAACATAGCCAGAGAATTATTTACTATACCGCGTGGGTAAAACTGTAAGCCAGACGCTGATTGCTCGGAGTAGTGAGTGCACCATCGTATTTCTTCTTCCGATTGTTAGTAACTCAGTCTGCTTCCAAGTTAGCTGCTTTGAGACCGAGGGAAATTTTTAACTGGTTGAACGATGAGGCTAGAAATCTACCTGTGTTGAGACTGTTCTTTCATCTTGCTATTAGACGATGTTCAATCTCATGAGAGACGGGCACAAGTGACGCTGAACATGCGGAACTTCAGCTAATAGTACCATAGGGTTAAAACGTGATATCACATAGCCTGAATTTGCTCATAAGTAAACGCGGGCCTTTTCCTGTACATCAGGTCATAAGAAAACACTCACGCCGATGTCCATGTATAGTTATACTCCGTGCTGTTGGCCATACAATTATCGACACAATTGGAGGTAGTACGTATTCGGGTGTCTTATGAATTAAACAGAAATGTTCCGGCGTCCCATGACCTTGTACACAGGAGCGCCTTGAACTATGCTCTAAGCTGAAGATGTGCGTTCTTGGCAACTTTTTAGTCACTGTGATTGAACTAGGGAAGGCATGCATGCAGCGTCCTCATGGCCATAAACGCTGTGAGTAGTACCGTAGTATCAGCGTACCTGCTACTTCGGACTCGGATGAGCGAGTAAGCAAGCAATAGTTTCGGTATCTGCCGGATGCGTGCGAAATTGATCAGCCTCATCAACAACGAGGGGTTGCAGTTGTTTCTCGAGCTGACTCCTCTGAGGAAATAGCATTTGTCTTCCTTTACTCTCAGTTTTACCCTGCCTTTTCTTTCTTGCAAAAGCTCAATGCCAACCGCATAATAAATCCACAGGAACATTGGCAGGCCCGCAGCACGCTCCGATCACCAGTGTCATAAACGTTTCATCAGGCGCAAGGGGAAGAAACTATTTGAGGTAGCCTTCTCACAAACTTGAAACTGGATCCAGATGATCGTTATCACCAATATATTCAAGCTCGTATGAAGGGCTCTCAAGTTATCTTCAAGAAAAGTCGATCGATGCTTGGGCGATCTGGCGCGACATTCTTTGGATTAATTGTAGCCCCAACTTGACCCTGGAGCTTAGAAGTCAGTGGGTGCCTCCACACTGGTATCAAGATTGACCAAGGCAAAATGCTTCTCTGTGCCTCTTACTTTCGTCGGGATGGTGCTAGGATCCAGCTGCTTTATGGCTTTCGGTGGCTCACGACCTCGCTCAACGAGGACGTAGCGTTGATAACCAAGAATAACTTGGGTAATGGACTGATGGGTTAGATATTCGGGGTCACTTCGATAACTTCATCGAAGGTTCATTTGCTAGCGTGGAACAGATCTTGATGGACAAAGATCGACAGTCAAAGGTAAATAATCAGTAATCAATGGTTTGCCCTGTCAAGTATGATTTATTTATGTGTCGTGCGTCTTAGATTGGACTGCAAACGTTCCGCCACTGGTGTGGATGCATTTGACGAATGTGGCAGTATGCGCAAATGATGACTGCTTGATATTCTCACCGAATGGTCGACACTCCCGAAGAATCTGAAATTAATTATTACAGGCTGTGACGATCGTATGCGGAATTATTTTGTGATACTTGTCAGTACAACCCGGCGATCAAGTAAACAGTTAAGCAACCCCAGGGTCTCGGGCGATCGTTTCGATTCCGAGCACGGTTGTGTTCTTTGGGGAAGGTCAGCTGGCCTAGCGAGCAACACATCTTGGCCCTGATTCAGCATGCCGCTGATCTTTTCATTCGAGCTGAGACAGTATATTACTTCATACAATCATCGGGGCAACCCAGTTGATCGCTTTTTCTGGCAGTTTCACAAACAGACGGAACAACGTAGTTCGTTAAACTACCAAAATTCAAGAGGAAAAACAGGTGAGTGTAACACCTTTTTAGCAGGTACATTGATATCTGCGTACGACACTGAGAGTCATGGCAAGGGGCTTTTGTTACAGATCCATCATATATGGGCATATTTTGGTGGTGACACACTGTACCCACACGAAAACAGAAGCTCAGGGACCACAAGGCATACTTGTTTATATTCACTCTCTGTGAATTGCGCGGCAGGACAAGGGGGAACGTAGGTTATATAGCTCCTTAGGGTTCCATTGGTCGAACATCTAGCATGGTCGCAAAGACAGATGAGAAAGATACTTATTTGCACAAAATGATGCTTCCATAGCTGCCCAATGACATACGTGTCAATGGTGATTATTGCTGGTCACCAACGTTATCCTACATTTTTCACACGAGAATAACGAACAACACGGACCTCCTAATTATCGAGAGGAAGTTGACACAGCCTCACGGTCAATCAATTGCAAAAATGATCAGAAGAGGACATCTCTCACTTAGGAATATTTTATGAACATAGTAGGGAGATAGACACAGATCAGAATGTCCGTATCGCACATGATTGCGAACTTTTTGGCAATCATTTTGGCTAGTTTAGAGATAATAACCTGCGTCAGTGAACTTGAGGGACGTACTAGGGCGAAGTGGCAGGCGATTCTGATCGCAAGGCGAGATACGAGTATCACATATATCACCTGTGATAATAAGTGGAATGAGTATAAAAGTGTAGTGCATGAACATCGTTTTATGACATGAAGACCAGTGATTACGAAAATGATATTGAGAAGGGATTGACGGTGATTGGAGATGAAAAGGGTGGAAGCACTATCACACAGCATTTGTGTCTCCACTATGATCCAGCCTAAAGAAAGTACAATGATCCTCTACAGGTTAAGATCATACATACCTTAAGCTGTATGATACCGTAGCGTAGCAGTGAAAGGAGAATTTCTGACATAAGGGTTGGGAATCTGGAAGATGACGTAAAGAATACTACTATACACAAACTGCTCTTCAGCCCAACTTCAACGTGGAATCGTAAAACTGAGATGCGATTTTCTTCCACACGGCCATTCACCAGTCTTCGAAATCAACGACTTGGATATATACACCAGTATATCCATCCGCGACGGCTCTCTTCTCTCCACCAGCAGTCAGAAAGTAGCCCTGGTCAGGATTTTGGGGACTACTCTATCATATTACCACCAGAGCCTTTCATTTGGGGCGTATCACATATAACGCCACGAAATGTTCCAGCGAGCATCCGACATCCATCCTATGCAACTGATCCGGAGCTATCGCGGTTTTGCTTGGAGCCCGATTCTTGGAAAGAACAATTTCATGGAGATGGGAGGATACAACTTGGTGGCGAGGAAGAAGAGTGTCTGCGCCGGGCTGCACATCTTGCGAGGGACGTATTGGGGTATGCTGGGTCATTAGTTCGAGTGTGTTTCTTTCTATACGGCTCAAGCCGTAATTGTTCCTACACTCGAGCTCACCTGCATCATGACAGTCTGGAATTACTACCAACGCAATAGATGCAGCTGTGCACGAATATATACTATCGCGTGGTGCTTATCCCTCTCCCCTTCTTTATGCAGGCTTTCCTCGTTCGTGCTGCACAAGCGTGAATAATGTAGTTGTGCACGGCATACCTGACGAGTGAGTATATATTTTTGCAGTGACTACACGCGCTGCTATATGCATGATATCTTCAACCAGCCGTCCCCTTGAATCAGGCGATATTGTGAACATTGATATCACAGTGTACTTAAATGGATATCACGGAGACACATCAATGACTTTCGAAGTTGGTAATGTGGTGTGTTCATGTTTTCTAAAGTTGTCCTATTTTCCTACTCTTCTCATTTTCTCCTGCTCTCGCTTGCATATTGCCGGCCAGTCATATCTAATCGCTTTCTTCGGTGATTCTAGGATTCGCAGGGTCAAGCTTTGATTCGACAGACAACGCTCGCGCTTGAAGCAGGCATCCGCATGTGTGGGCCTGGACAGCCATTCAGTGGCATTGGGAAAGCAATCTGGGAGTGTGTCAATGGCGTTCGGTCTGTACAAGACCCACATGATATCAGTAGTGGAGATTTGGACAAATCAAGCACTTCCTACCTATCATCTTCTCCAGAACAAACTTACTCGATTTGCCAAGCTTTCTCGGGGCATGGTATTGGTCGCGACTTTCATAGGACGCCATGGATATACCATACGCGTAGGTATTTCCACACTCACTTCTGCTCCCTTCTGTTCGATTGCTTGGATCGCTTTCAATCACCGTGTCGCCGGGGTGGTGTAGTCTCTATCGAGCCGGTCTTGTTTTACCATCTCTTCTAAATGTTACAACGTTGCTAAGGTTATTTCGTCCATAGCGAATGAAGAACCTGGTGTGATGCGCTCGGGGCATTGTTTTACGATTGAGGTATGTACATGTACCCCAGGAACCATCCTTTGCATAGTTCTCCCGTAACCTCGCTCACAAATTGACAAAATCTACCCAGCCTGCAATTATCCAGGGACCCAACGCTAGCACTTGGATATTTCCAGATGGCTGGACTGCATCTACCGAAGTAGGTCGATCGTCTCAGTTTTACAATTAAATTTAATTCCTACACATTCCTTCCATTCACAGAACTGCGCACGCAGTGCCCAAGCCGAACACATGATTCTCATTACGGAGGACGGCGCAGAGGTACTTACGCGATAGTGAGAACAGCGTTTCACTGTATTCTATATCGGTATTGTCGTCGTAGGGAGCATCATCTGCTGGATTAGGATGAAGGACAAGTGATACTATCCGAAACGGTGAAATATTTCGTACTAAGGTGATGGCAGTCTTCACGTGATTTTGAGTGCTGATATTTGTTGGGACGCTACAGCGTGATGTCCCAGAGTTCATATATCACTGCGGCCAAGGCCTTTCATACGAGTGATCTTTACAGCCTCCTATTACAATATGTAACCGATTCCTTCTCTTCTACTCGTCCGTTGCGTTGATGGGTCTATTTATAAATCGATACTTACCATAGCTCGAATCCCAACTCCTCACCAAGATACCAACTGGTTTTGTCGCATTTTAATCTGGCGGACGGCATACTGTCCAAGGCATCGCTTGGCGGTATATAAACAGTGATCTTGTCTTTATATCCCATGGAGTTCTCCCGACAGATTCTCAGTCACATCAGAGATCAACCACGCATGCCTATGCCACGGGTCATCAGGCTCTTAACCATTAAAACATGCATATGCTAGCTGGCATGCATCCATATCACAGAAAACATCAGTGCTGTCCTAGGAGCTCGTGTAATAACATTTATGTATACATTCTGCACACGAGCTAATATGTTACTTTTGTACTATCTGGATATTTGCCTGGGGACTATTTAAGAAGCAGCACCAACACGCTCGTTCAAAAATCTGAGTAAAACTTCCGACAGGTTAGGTTTTTTCTCTGCTGCCGCCTCTGGCCTAGGATTATCAGACCCAATGATACCATCACACTTCGCTATCAGTCCAGAAGCCTTCCCTAACAGTCCTCGTAAATCAGCGGCCATCTCCCCAGTCATTCCGCGCCGTAAGCGTTCCGCTAGTGTCATAGATGCTCGTGGAGCACGCCGTTCTCGATCTTTATGTGGTGCTTGAGGGAGTGAGTCGCGCGGGTGTAAAGAAAGAGGGTTCTGTGAGTGTTGGAGATGAGTATATGTGTGAGGATTCGAATGTCCTAAGTGATGCGAAACATGCTGCTGCGGACTATGCGAATGTTGAAGTTGAGTGGTATGATGTCCCCCTTCGTGCATCCCTTCGCTGTCCTCCCCCATGTTCATTCCATCCCCGACTGACACTTCAAATTCGGGTTTTGATACCCACATTGCAAGCTGCGTGACGGCGTATATCATCACGCCTTCAAGCGTGTTTCTCGTCGTAATTATCCCTTCTCTTACGTCAAGTGTTTCCACCGATGCCGATGTAGAAGTAATAGACGTAGATGTCGGAGGGACAATATTCTGACCTGGAGGACGATTGACAAGGTCTCGCAGAATGTCAAGAGTGGCATTTCCTAACTCAAGAAGCGTTCCTAGAGATGTTGGCTCTCCTAAGACCACTTTAGAATGCTAATTCGTAGTAATAATTGTAAAATCAGTAAAACCAGCCGAACAACTACAGAGACAAGGTACTCACAGGAACAATTAAAGCTTCAAGCACCGGCCATTCTTCCTGGTCACCCAGTAAGACATCGTACGCTCGACTTATACTAATTAATGTCGCTAGTATTGCGGCCGTGAGCTTGTATAGCCTATGTACGAGCCTCGCCGTCAATGGACGCTTGCGTAGATCGACCATATCGGAAGGGGAAAGCGATCCACCCGCACCAACAGCCGACTCTCTCTCCTTATCAACTAGAAGACGCTCCTCTGCAGTGACAGGCTCAAGTAGGGTAGACAGGTGATTAGGATGTGTGAGTGCATAGTTAAGCTGCTGCAATAGCATCAAAGCATGCGTTGTGAATACGCGCAGAACCTTGGAGACAACGGCATCGTGGTCATTGGACGACGAAGGCATCCCTTCTGCAATGGCATAGAAAAGATTTACTACTTGTTCAATTTCTTCCAGCAGTGGCAGGGTGACAGGTTCACCAATGCTCCACGATAACGCACGCGAAATTTGTTCCCCATACAACTGCACAAACCCACAGGCTTCAGCCACGAAGAAATGACTTTGTCGCCCTAGAGCCGAGATCACGCCAGCGACGATGGAAAGCATAGAGACATAGACTCTGTGTGCTGGACTTCGCTCGCCAGGTAATTCAGGTAAAGTAACCTCAATTTGGCCAGTGCTTATTGCGGCGGAGATGCCATTGTTACTGTATGCTGAGATGGCGCCAGCACTAGCAAAACGTTCAGCGCCTGACGGAATACTTGCGAGCGCCATATGGAAAAAGACTATATGAGGAGCGTAGAGAGGCTGTCGGCGAGAACGAAGCAAGGTCAGATCAGAGAGGCCCACCAGATCTGCGTGAACAAAAAGTTCGAGGCTGGATCTAATGGCGTCCGTTTCTTGGCACCGCGTCAACCATTGTGCAGGATTACTATCAATATCGCGGCGAGTGCACTGCTCGAATACTGCGACTAATAACTCCATGTCTTTGTCCAGATCAAGATCGAGTCTTGTACGCGCAGAGTCAAAAACAAGACTAAGAGCCTCAATAACGAGGTTCAGAGTAGCTTCAATCATCATCGCGATGGTCAATCTTTGTTCAGCATTGAGAGCTTTTGGTCGCCTGATCAAATTTCTACAATGGCGACAACAAAAGTATATGATCTGGAGTAGCGTCCGATGGAATGGTACGGATGTTTTCCCAAGGAAAGACATAGAAGGAGATTGTGACTCATTGAGAATGATGTTATGGACATTTTTGACGAGTGAGATGAATGATTTAATTTCTGTGGGTGTGTCGGATGCCGAGAACCAAGCAACTTCGAGCAGGGAAAGAAGTAACCCAAGCCTTGTTCCATGAATGGTGGCCATCATATCTCCCGACCGCTTCTCCGACGCTACGTCCACAGACATTGCAGCCGCTAGCGACAGCATGGAAGGCCTGATGCCTTGTTCCGCTCGAATCAAAGGTAGCGCTTGTCGCAACAAGAATTGCCAGGATTCTGCGAGGGCTGTTTGAGCTTGAGTCAAAGATAAATTGAGGTTGATCGATGAGATCTTTTTCTCCACCTCCTCGGCACTCCTCACACCCTCCTCAGTAGTAGCACAGTGCTGAAGCCTACTTCGTAAAAGGCTTAACGAAAAGGTAAAGTCGTCACCAAACTCGCGTTCAACCACGGGTTCTTGTGACTGCAACTGTTCCAGGGTGAGTGCAGGGAAGTCGACCTGGATCTGTTGAATGAGATCATCGTGAAAGGCTGGATCATATGAGCTAGCCGCAGCTTCGAGCACATATTCTGTTAGCTGCTCTTCAACCTTGAACGAGTCTCGTATTTTGTTATAGCTGACGGCCTTGTGCGTAGGTTGACATGATTGCGGAGGTTGTGGTCGCAGATAGATATCCTGACCGATAATATGTAGAGCATAAGACTTCGCCATGGTGCGGTAAGCTTGCATTGAAACAGCTTCGTGGAAATTTGATCGACGCGCGCCATCCAGAAGAACATATGATTCCGTGGTGTAGTCTGGCCACGGGCCCAGCTCCTCTCGTGTGATAGCTGACAGCTGGCTCCAGAATTCTTCATCTTCGCGCATATTGTCGAGTAATGTTTTGTGTTCAAGACCATGTTGCCAAACGACATCTAGGAAGCGTAAGACCGAAGCCATGAGCTGCGGGTTATGCTCCCAAAGCTCCTTCCAATTTCCCAAAGCATCGTGCGCAATGTCTACAGCGTTAAGGACCTTCTTAGATGCATCACCATCCGAAAGCTCGCCACCTTTCCCTTTGACGCTTGCAGGAATGCGGAATTGGCCGGTAACGAACAAGCTAGCGAGCGCAGGCTCCTTATCTACGGCGAGGGAGATGAAGTTCCAAACGGCATTCCGAAGAGATAGATCATCATAAGGATGCTGGACAATGCGCACGAATGAAGCAACAGTTGCCTCCGGGTTTGTAAGATGCCCAATGATAGTTGGTGGTGATGGCTGCGTAGTCGAAAGAGATGCACAAAGGGAGTAAAGCACTTTCATGGCCTCCAACGGGATGACAGCTCCTACGCCTCTCTCCTTCACATATGTCGCCAACACATCGATTGGATCTACCCTTGAGCGAGTTGAATCTGAGAAGTTTGCCCCACCAGCCACTCGAGCACACAATGCCTGTTCTAGTAGGCAAGGTTTTGAAGACCCAGGGGTCATCTGCTTATAGTTGAGGACCAGCCGCACCAGATGAAGATGAGACTCCAAGAGATAGATAAGGCGTCGCGCGTCTCCAAATCGTCGTGTAGCATACAACGTTCCCAAAATAGACGATCCAGCTGTGATAGAGGACACTAATGGGTTGATTGTAGACGTTGTTGCTTTATGGAGAAGAATGTCAGCTATAGTTTGGCTCAGCGTTGCGAACGGTCTATCAGTTAACGTCGGGGGAGCCTGACTGAGCACATCAGCGTAGAAAGATGAAACCCGCCTCCCAACCTCGAACTTGTCTCCTAGCTGAGCGTACTTCCAAACCAGATGCTCAACCCATATCTCACCATGTACAAAACTCGTGGCACGAAGCAACACCTCTTCTTTTACCTGCTGTAGACGAGCGTTTTCAGGCAATATCGTTAAAACAGACGAAGCGGCTTCGTGGAAGAGTTGTTGTACGAGCTGCAGTAAGGCTAGGGTCATAGTGTAGTGGCCAGAAATACGCTCGGCAGCGAGAGCAACGGATGCAAACCCAGCTGAGCGACTAGGACCGAACAGGGCACTGGTGGATCGTATATACAGCCAAACCCGCAAGGAATATTTAGGTAATGACAGCAGCGCTGAGAGAACACTCATTGCAGACGTGATGAGCTGCGTGCGAGCAAAGCTTCTTGTTTGGTTGGCAGGGCGATTCAAAGCCTCCTCGAGAATCATAGTTGTGAGCTGGACCAAATCGGGAGGTTGGCTTTCCCCCATACTATGCGACACAAGGGAATCGCCAGATTCCAAAGAATCTAACAACTCCTCAGCGAGCGGTGCATTTTCTTGTATGATGCTACGGATAAGGTCAAGGGTATCTGTTGCGATGTCTTCGTCGCCTTCACTCTCCATTTCCATGCCTATGTCACTGAGTTTCAGTGTCAACGGTTGAGAACCACTACGACCAGAAGATGCTCCGCGGTAAGGCCTCTCAGCTCCGGAGTATGATCGCTTGCGGTTCACATAGTCTGTCAGAACTTCCAAAATCACTTTCCAACCAGAATGTTCATGCTGCCAGCAAATAGCCATAAACTCTCCACCGTCTCCGCTCAACAATCGGCCAGTCGACCTGGCAGGCAGTGTAGATCCACCAGGTAATTTGATTGGGCGAAGATTGACGTAGGTGAGACCTGGGGAGGGCATCGATCCATATCTCTCTTGTAACTTCTCGTATATGGCATTAGATCCGGTGCATGCGGATGCCGGGATGACCTGAGAAAACGTAGGCAACTTATCGAGATAAAAGAAGACATGTTGACCACAGAGTTCTCGCTCCTCCTCTGTGCCCTCGCTCTCTTGAGAGTGATCAGCTGTGGAGAGTTGATCGGTGTCGAGGAAGCCAGCAGCAGTCATTGCACGGAGTAGTCGGATGAGAGGTTTGAGCTGGATAGGGAATCGCGACCTTGCGACGTCGAATATAGCACGACGAGCCATGCCTTGCCTCCAATCTGACTGCCAATATTGCCGACAAATGCCTGCAATAGACTGGCTTTCACTCCTACCAAACAGTGCAATCCAGACCTCAACCAATGCATCGAAATCTGGGACGAGCTCAACAGGAACCAACTCTACAAGCGCAATGACAAGGCCTTGTATAGTTTTCGAGTCAGCCGCTGGGCAAAAAAAAAACAACGGTAGTATCGCTGCGTACCTTTTAGTACAGACCTAAATGCTATTGCATTAGGATCAGTTATAGTTGAGCCAGTCTTCCAAGCGGCAACAGTCACAAAAAGGGGAGAAGTTGTTAGGAGTGTCGAGATTAGCTTGAATAAACCGACGTCAGGGCTTAGACAGGTTCGGGCCATTAGCACGTGCATTTGTTCGCGTTCTTTTGAACGATGTTGATGGGGAACAAGGGACTCGAAGAAGCTACGATAGCCATCTGGTATTTCCTTCGCCTCCTCGACCTGGGATGTCAAACGAGAAAGGACAAAAGCCCAAGCAAGATAGGTACAGGCATGATGACTGTTGCCGTGACTTGGAGAGGTAACGAGCTCGTGTATACGCTTTAGCGACTCAGGTGACGAGGTATAAATCGTTTTATCGGAGGGGTCAGCTGAGATCTCTACTCCATTCCGCTCAGCTAGCCTCTCCAACTCCAGCACCTCGATCGTGATGAGAATCCATAGCGCCGCACAATCCTGCTGCAGCTGTTCACCCTCGTCGTCCAACATAAGCGTTGCGTTGCCTTGTATCAATCCAAGGTTCGAGCTGTACGAAGCCTCCATGATCCGCACGACAAAAGGTCCGTCACAGGGAACGTAACCCCACATTGTCCAAAAGAGGACTTCCAGCATGACTAGCTGCTCCTTCGCATTTTGCTTTGCCCATCTAGAAGCAGCACGCGGTTCGCTGCTCACTGTTGCTGGGACTTTCTGCTTCGTCTTTCGTAGATATTCTTTTAAGAGAGAGTCTGCGAATGCTTGGCCATCGGGTAGAATTTTGGGAAGCTCTTCCAGCGCTATAGCGTGTATAGGATCAACCGTATTTTCTTGAGCTCGGAAAAGAGGGATGAGGGATCGTAAGACGAATAATCGTTCAGCATAGTAGAACGGTGTGATGGCCGCCACTAGTTCGTCCACGACCGACTTATCTGAGCTCGAGCCTGCATTAGACGGTAATCCCTCGTTATAAAGAAAGGAGCGCAGGAGAATCAGGGATTGGACCTCGTCAATTTCGAAATGCGAGCTGATTGCAAACACAAACTCCTTGTCGACGTCGTCCAGATGCAAGACCACACCGTCGCTTAGAGTAACTGAACCACTCTCAACGGTCTTGCGTGACGCGTTTGACGGTTTCCCAAATGGCTCTGTGATATTTCTAAGCTGAGATATCCGTGGTTTTAGAATGTCTGCAATCTGGTCAGGTGTCGTTCCCTCTAGCCGCCCTGAGAGAACCGAATGAAGTTGCTGGTAGGTCCTGAAAAGTGAGGACACGTTAATTATACACAGACAAGCATGAATTGGGCAAAAGACGAACACATCGACAAGATTTGAACGTTTTGAAGACTCTCCAGACATTATGGGTTGCAGGAGAACGAATGCCCTTGAAAAGTAACCGGCCACTGTGTATGGTTCAAAGTGGCGTGGCCACAATCCAAGAGTTACTGTCGAGAAAAGGACGCAACTCTCTCACTTTCTTACACTGACAATCTCAAGGTTGTGATACCAACTCTTCTTCTATACTGTGGTCTTGATGCTCTACTTGATAGATTTTCTACTCGCCTCCAAAACGCATGTAAAAAAAGTAGTGTACGATTACAGAGAGAAATGTAATTCCTCAGGCTTCACAACAAAAGTTTGAGGGACTAAATGGGACAACAGTAAGTGTACACAAGATATACAGAAATGGCTAAAGCTGGTGTCCATTGTCACACCCAACCTCGTGCAGCTCCTCGGCCTCCACCATGCCCTCTTTCTTTTTCAATCACAAACATCGCATCTCTCAAAGTCACGACCGTCCGAGTATCTTCTTCAGTCGGAGTGGTTGCAGTGGTACTTTTCTTTGCAGACACATAAGGTCTTGCCCATGATGTAGCCGCTGCACTTGCTGCAGATGGTGCCGTCGTCGTCGCTGACGTACCGGGAGCTGGTTTGGGTTTGGGTGTAGAAGCAGCTGCGGCATTCGCAGCATTCATCCATGCGTATTTTCCGCCAAGACCTGCGGCTTGACTAGCCACAGCGTTAGACATTTTTTTGCGCACATCCTCTGACATATTCCTCGCAGTGACGCCTGGCCCTTCCTTCTTTCTCTTCTTTTTCGCGCCTCCTCCATCTCCATCTTCGCCATTTGCATCCACCGCCATTGCATTTCCATTACCCCCAGCCGCCTGAGCCGCGAGATTGGCGGCGTGCGCAGCTGCCATATCTGCGCGCTCCTTCCGTTCTCTTCTTACCTTCATTTCCTCTTCTCGTTCGGCTTTTTCCAATGCAGCGAGTTGCTTGGCGACATCTCCACGCACCAATATGCTCCACATAGGAGTATTGTCATCGTATAATGAGGCAGGTCGGTCAAACTGAGTATCTGTGCGGTGATGAGAGGCGGCTATCATAGATGTGATCAAGTCTTGCAGTCGTGCACGAAGTGCCAATGCAAGATAATTGACCGACTCTTCGGGAACCTTGGTGACTTTGTGCTGTGTCCCTATTGTCCGCATGGTAGCACCAAGAAAACGAGAATCAATAGACGGATTTAGCGGTTGCTTTCGAGAACGGTCTTCATATGGACGATAAGTCTGATGTTGTTCATATGATTTTTGAAGTGTTTCTTCTTCCGCCTGTGTGCGCATCAATCAGTAGGAGCGACGTGTAAAGTATGGGAATAGGACATGCCCTAAGATCGACACCAGCGCTTCCGAGGGCGTCGTTCAATGTGGCAATATCTGCTGTGTCTATTGCATTGTTGGAGCTAGATTGCGTATTATTCGCAGGAGCTGAAGCTATTGCCGGGGTCGTCGTATTCTGCCGTGCCATAATGGGTTGCTGGGGTTGAGTCTGGGTGACAGGGTGAGGTGTGTACTGGTGGTAGTGGGCGTAAGCTGCTTGAGCATAGTGCGATGTATAAGATTGATAATGGGAGTAAGGGGCAGTCCTGAATGGGCAGACAATTCAACAAAGACCAGTCTCGCAAAGGGATGTTTTGTTTACGTGGCGTGTGTCTGCTGTTGAAGAGAAGGGTCTATCGGAATGTCTACATGAATGGGAAGAACTTGAGCATGGAAAGCAGACAAATTGTCAGGACATATAAAGGAATATGGCATACGGGCTGTTCCCCACTGTGCGGCATAAGGAATGGGCGTTGGCGCTGGTGTTGGTGTGTGCTGCACTGGCGTCTGCACCTGCGTCTGCACTTGCTGGGCTTGCGGTTGAGGTGTTTCATTTTCAGTCTTCATGATGAGTATTTCGACGACAAAAAGAATAAAAGAGACAATAAATGCTAGAGAGCAACCGAAAAGGTGAAAGCCAAGAAAGTGAAACACCGCAGAGGATGCAAATGATTAGGTAATTGTCAAGTCACGTGTTCTGTATAGACGTTTGAATCCCCAAGATCAGATTCAGAGCCTTCAGCTTTTCCTTACCGTGACATCAACTTGAAGGGCAACGGACCTCCAAGAGTTTAGAAATGGTAGGTATCAAGTTACCTTCCTCCGAATACCATCCTGACTTGTGAATGAGGCCGTTTGTACATACTTCTTGCGTGGGACGTGCAAGTTCGGTGACAGATGTCGGAATGAACATCCAGGAGGAGGTACTCAGCGTCAGGGCTCATTCGGGAGTAAGTCACAAGTATATCGCTACAGAAAAACCATAAATCGAGTGATTTCGGTCTCGGCATAGATCAAACATGGACACAAAACTCCTCTGACTCGACCCAAAAGCCCCCTGTGGCCTTCACGTACGCATTCTCAATATATTCATTCTCAACGTTGAACCTTATGCTGTCCTCTTGAAAACATCAGCATGGAGTCTATGACAAAAGATATCACTATGATGCAAGATAAGCCTTTGTGGCCTCTGTCGTCGTATGGTCCAGCAAAACACGAGCCAATACTCGTTGGTGGATTGGATGAATCTTTTGAGGAGCTACGAGTTCGAGCATTCACCTGTCTCAAGGAGGGTAATACAAACGATTATGTATGTCTTCTACTTCTAAACCTTTTGTTTGCCTATTGTAATGGATTTTATTTCGACGAAAACAGCTCAAATATGAATCAGAAAAAATAACAGCAGCAGACCAAACATATGCGAACGCACGCATAAACGTCTCCCAAGCATTTGAGCAAGCTACCAACCAATCCTCTAACATAGCATCCGCTGGTTTGAGTAGTGGTCCCGGCAATTCTGGATCTGCTTTTGGTGGCGGGAGCTCGTCGTTTGGCCAACCTTCTGTGTTTGGTGTATCTTCTAACACCGCGACGGACAAGTCAGCCTTTGGACAGTCACAATCGGCGTTTGCGCAGCCATCTTTTGGGCAAACAGGTTTTGGCCAAAATACAACGTCCACAACATCTGCATTCGGACAACCATCCCAGCCCACTAGCACATCTGCATTCGGGAAACCTACACAGCCGACGTCTGCATTTGGCCAGCCATCTCAACCCACTACATCGGCGTTTGGACAACCTGTTCAGCCAACCTCTGCGTTCGGACAACCAACCCAGTCTACTTCTGTGTTCGGACAACCTTCGCCGCCTGGGGCATCATCAGTGTTTGGTCAACCTTCTCAGCCTACCACATCTGCCTTTGGTCAACCCTCCCAGCCTACCACATCTGCTTTTGGCCAACCGTCACAGCCAGCATCCGCTTTTGGTCAACCATCACAAACCACATCAGCGTTTGGACAATCATCTTTCATCAAACCGGCTTCTGGTGCCTTTGGCGCGTTCTCTTCGGGTACTGGTGCTTTTGGGGGTGGAACTAACTCAAGTAGTGGAGGTGGTGGTGGGTTTTCGGCTTTTGCTAGTCAACCCTCTGGGTTCGCAGCAGCAGCAGCAACGAATACGTCACCATCGCCTGTTGCAGGTGGTTCTGCGTTCGGTCAGCCATCTTTTGGTGTCACAGCCCCCGCCCAGTCTGCCTTTAGCGCGGCTCCAGCATCGACGGCTCCTACAACTACATCCCCGTTCGCTTCTACCCCATCAGCGTTTCCTTCTTCCCAGCCAGCTCCTGTGTCTGCGTTCGGGACATCAGCATTTGGAAGTCCAAACACATCTATGTCTGCATTTGGTTCCGGCCAACCAAGCGTGTCTACTGGCTTTTTTGGTAACAACAATGTCAATGCCACCTCAACGTTTGGCCAAACGCCACAGGCTACGTACGCAGGATTCAATAATGAGCCGTCTTCTGCTATGTCCGCGGACACTCCGACAAGTGCAACTGGCGCTCCAGATTTTGGCAATGCAAGATTATCATTGCGCTCGGATGCTGATAAGTATGGAGCACTCCTGCCTCCAAATTACTTCGATATCCTTCCTGAGGCAGTGAAAACGGCATTTCAAAGTGATAAATTTGAATGGGGGAACGTGCCAGAGTGGATACCTCCGAGAGAGGTTCGTTGATCGTATCGATCACGTTCATCAGTTTGGTTTTCTTGCTTTCTTTCTGTCATCAGCTGTGATTGTACTTTTAGCATTACATTATTACCGCATGTTTGTTTAGCTTACTTGGATTATGGATTATGTCCTGGGGCATTGAGGAAACGTATACATACAAATCTACATACTGTACCGCTCAGTTCGCATTTTCTACCCCTGTCAATATCGTGATATCAGCCACTCGGTTTGCTTCCGAGAACGTTCAAGGGAACGTTATTGGTCTATATCCGGAAGTCTGTATTCAGCCTGAGCTTCTGTTAAATACCACTAGTAGTAAGTGATCCAAATAACCTCCAACTTCATCGATTCTGCATCTTGATACCAAACCACCATGTCAAGCAAACCCAGTGCTCCTGCGAAAGCACCTTCAGCCTCCAACACCCTTCCTCAGGCTGCAGTCGATGCTCCTTTCATCAGGTTTCCTCCATTCCCAGTAGCACCTGAAGGCGCCAGCATCATCTCTTTCAGTAGCTTCAAACCCTACGGTATCCAGATGTTCTCAAAGGCCGGCGAGGAGGAAGAAGTTGAGCTTGACGGCTTGAATATACCTACCGTCGAGTTACGCGTGAAGCATGACACTGACCAGTGTAAGAGCAACAAAAAGAGAAGAAAGAAAAAGAAGAATGGGAAAATGACCACCGATGCGAACGGGAAACGTATACCGTGGTGGGAGGAGTGGGAAGAAGGCGAAGAGTTGAGAGTGACTGGTCCTGGCTACGACCCGTAAGTGGTTCCTTTCAGTACAACTCATTGCCACTATGCTCAGTATAGGAAATCCTTTCATATCCCAACCGCAGGAATATGTCACGAGTTGATCGCTTATTCCAAGCTGCTCAGGACTTCAGGTCAGGTCGTACCTGGCCCCCCGCTGTATCTGGTGCAGGGAATCTGTGGGATCAAGTGTGTCCTCGTTCTTTTAATTATATGATATATATATATATATATACTCATAAAGTCGACCACGAATAGTTTCGCCTGTACTCTGGGCTTCTTACCAACACCCCAGTGTACCGCAAGTCCGGAAATAAGCGAGATGGCGCCGAGTCTCCAGAAGGTTTCATGTCGGACGAAGAAGACCTCGACATGAAAGTCATCGAGGTTCCTGACATCACCAACTCCAAGCGAAAGCGACCTGCTCAAGACTCGTCTTTAGCAGACGATGGCGATGTAGACGAAGAAGAAAACGAAACGTACAAAAAGAAGAAGCTTGGGTCGGAAGAAGATAGGGAAGATCGCCTCTTCGTCTTCCTCGACGACCCGGAGATCTCGGTAAAAGTATTCTTGTCGTCCTTCATGCGCGAACAGGGTTTGATATGGTGAGTATTACACCATTTGGGTATCGTCGGCCCTCAAATCGTATGTGTTTAGGTCTGAGCGTAACCTTATTACTGCTCCAACCCTCCTCTCCTTCTTTTTGAACTTCCTTCTGCGAAACCGCGTGTTCCCCGAAGCGACTCACGAGCGAGGCCTTCGTTCAGCACTGAACGTAGTAGAACAAGCTAAAAAGCAACTTCCTCTCACTTTCAAAATTGGGAAAGTGATTCCAGACGAATTCAGTGGGGGGTGTAAGGAGTGCTGGGGCAGGAAAGGAGGTTTATCTTGGCAATCCGAACCCGTCGTCCTTCCCGAAAATACGGATTCCAAAGGTCATTATCTTTTCTAGTATACAAAAATGAATGTGCGTATACTGATTTCCATCCTAGCCGAGTCCCAAGTGAAGGATTTCGAAACCGGACTATCCGTCGACGGTATCCAGGCCACGAGGGTCGAGATTCCATCTCCCGATTCGCCAAGCCAGATCGTCAAGCAGATCATCGAAGATAACGTCGGCTCAGACGTCGAACTCGATATCAGCACCCATAACCCATGGGCCAACGAGCCTAGTCCCACCGCCACTGGCGCATGGGGCGACATACCCGCCCAATGGGGTCCCGGGGCGGACACAGGTGTTCAGGACGGATCGGTTTGGGACGCGCCTGCGAGCAACTGGGCAGATGTGGCGGGTGATATGGAGGCTAACGCTGCTTCTTCGTGGAGCACGCCCGTCCTCCAGTCGCTCATGCCGTTCCTCGGCCCCACCGTTCTCCCTCTCACACATACGACGGGCATCGTCGAATTCTCAACGAGACGAATCAAAGCCATCCACCCACCCTCTCCCTCCCCAACACCGTCCAAGTCAAGCTCCAAGTCGGCAACGTCCGCTAATGCTAACAACGATGGACCCGACCCTGAGCAAGTCGAAGACGCTCTCGATCGCGCGTTCGCTAAAGTCGTACTCGAGCCGTGGATCGGATGCATCACGATGGAAGATTCGGATATTTCTAGGCCTGTCATCAAGTCTTCTTCGAGGGGGGCTGTAGTTGACGAGTTCAGCGCCGGGTCAGATGCGCAGGATGTCGTGGATTCTACCTCTGGTGCGAAGCCGTACAACCCTTACAAGGACGATATCGTGCTTCTGGTGAGGCCTGCCATGGTCGAATACCTTACTGAAGGGATGGGCTTGGGCGCCCTGTGGATTCAGATGGTGCGGCAGGAAGGCGTTCAGCCGCGGGCGGGTAAGAGAAAGGGGAAGCAGGCGGGGAAGGAAAACAAAATGGGTGAGACGTACTGGTATTTAGAGGACCTGATGTGCATCTTTCCCAGTTTCTATACAGCTCGCGAGAAGGCAGGATTGTAAGTGTGTTTTTTATACATGATATCCCCCGCCTTCACGCCTTCACGAGTCCCATCTTCACATCTTTCTGCATGCATCAATCTTCCATCTGCTTGGTTCACATAAAACAAAAAAAAAACGAGTTCTCATAACGTGTACACTATTATAAACATGAATTCAGAATGGGTTAGACTACATACATACGCAATCGTGATGATGATGATAGGGCAAGGTTGGAATGAAAAGTGAAAAAAAATGCAAGAGAGTGATTTGGCGATGGGGGGGACGAAATGGGGGATGGGAGTGGATGGGAAAAAGGAGTGAATGGATGAGCACATATACTTATCGTAAACCGTATGCATCATTCTCTGCAAATCTACAGATCTGACGTCGACGTCGATCGTTAAAACGCCAAAACGCTAAAATCGTTCATAACCGTCGGAGCCGCTTTTTGGATGGCCGCGCCTCGCGTTTGCCGTTCGGGCTGAACGCATCCGAAGCTCCTTTTTTCTTCCTCGCAGCCCGCTTCTTCCACATCGGTTCAAAAAAGACCGCTTCAATCAGCCTTGAGGCTCCTCAAGGCAAAAACAATATGGGGACTAGCGTAAAGCCAAGAAAACTTGGTTTTTACGCAGAATAATTCCTTTTGGGTAAAGTCTTAGATTATCAGGACGATGGCAACCTTGCTCGCGACTATCTTCGAGTAGATTACCATAGGCGAATATCATCATTGTAGATCATTGTAGATAAGATAAACAAAAGCCCATTCAAAAATCAAAAATTGTCCGCATGGAAAAACAAAAAACAGTAACGGATTATCCATTTAAACGTCAGGATCCTCATTGTCATCATGTTCAGCGTCGGGTTCGTCATCGTCATTGTTGCGTTCACCAACAAGAGCATCGCGTTGAGCTTGAAGTACATCATCAGGTAAACTTATGATGATCCGTTAGTTGTGTGATTCTGGTACATTGGAATGGCTTACCTGGCTCGACCGACCTCGAGAATGAAACATAGCAATTCTAAATATTCTTCTTGCGCTATCGGATCTTCGCGAATTGTGTTACGGATTGTTGACAAGCATGAGCAGTAAAAATCGTTGTAGGTACTACTTAATAAAACTAAGTGAAACTCAGCCGCTGCCCGAGAGGCTATAGAAACGACTGAGGTATTCCTATACTAAACCCCCTACTACTTATAGTCGGAGGTGCTACTCGCTACAGTATAATGACTCCTGGGAGTACAGTTGTGCTCCTAGGAGAACAATGGTTACTCCATGGAGTGGTGGCTATGCTCCATGGAAAACAATGGCTGCTTCGACAGAGACCGGGTTTATCCGGTTTTGTCACTCCCACTCAAGTGCAACCGTAGTCCCATAGCTTTAGAGAATTTCCAGTGTTTTTCATGAGTGAGGGGGTTTAGTGAGAATGTCTGCAACCATATCTCCTGTAGGAACATATCTGATTACTGCCTCTCCCTTTGATACTAAGTCATCTTGGATAAAATGATATTTTCGTTGAGTGTGTTTTGTGCGAGCACGGAACTGTGGATCTCGTGTAAGAATGATAGCTGCTTGATTGTCACAGTGCAATGTTGTAGGTCCATTTTGAGCATGTCCAATTTCTTCAAAAATATCCGAAGCCATGCAAGATGTTGTCCAGCATTGCTCAATCCAATGTACTCTGACTCCGTGGAGGATAAAGTGACCATGCTTTGTCTTTTGCTTGTCCAGGAGATTGCTCCTCGGATGGTGATAAAAACAAACCCTGATGTTGATCGAGACGTGTCTGGGTCTCCAGACCAATCTGCATCTGAATATCCATAGAAATCCATGTCCATGGAGACATCTGTGCCATCATATCATAGTTCCATGTCCCTAGTTGCTTTCAGATATCGGAGGACACATTTTGCAGCTTCCCAGTGATGGCTCCTTGGAGCTGAGCTATGCCTGCTTAGTATTCCAACAACGTAGGCAATGTCTGGGCGGGTTCTGAGCATGGCATACATGAGGGAGCCTACAATTGAGAGGTATGATACTTGATGCCCTTCAATATGCATCTCGTGTTGCACAATATCTTCGCCTGGAGCATTTGCAAGGAGTTTTGAACCATGGGCTATTGGTGTCCATACTGGTTTGCAGTTTTTCATTCCAGTACGCTCCAGGACTGTGTTAATGTATTGGCGTTGCAATAGGGATATTGTTTTGTTTGAACGATCACGTTGGATTTCTATTCCGAGGATGTATTTTGCTTCTCCAAGGTCCTGCATTTTGAATATGGATTCGAGTTTGGCTTTTGTGATATCCATGAATTTTTGGGATGAAGCTCCTAGGAGGAGGTCATCTACATAGACAACAACAAAGCATATTTGTTTGTTGTCCCGGAATACATAGAGACATGTTTCTGCATTTAGTCTTGTGAAACCGAGCTCCTGGAGCTTGCGATCAAAAGTTTTGTTCCATGTACGACCAGCTTGTTTTAACCCGTAGATGGATTTCTTCAATCTCCAGCAGTATCCAGGTTGGATAGGAACACCCCCTGGAGGAAGCATGTACAGTTCTTCTTCAAGTTCTCCATTGAGATAAGCTGTGGATACGTCCATTTGATCAAGTTCTAGGTCGTACTTTGCTGCCAGGGCTAGAATAATTCAGATTGACTCTAAGTTTGCAACCGGAGCAAAAACCTCCTGGTAATCAATCCCCTCCCTTTGAGTAAAACCTCGTGCAACAATCCGGAGTTTGTATCTCTCAATGTTTCTGTTTTGATCAAACTTGATCCGGAACACAGGTTTTGATGTGATGGGTTTTACTCCCTTCGGAAGTAGAACAGGGTCATATACTGCATTAGTATTGAGACTTAGGAGTTCCTCCTCCAAGGCAGACTTCCATAATTCTCCATCCGGACGTGATAAGGCTTCCTTTAGTGTCCTTGGAAGGTCTGTGTTAGATGGACTGGTACTTGCTATTCCAGCAAAGAATGTCTCCTCTGTATCAGATGTTTCTTCATGAACCTCAGGAGTGTTAGGTTTCTCCATGGAGTTGTCATGCTGCTCTTTTTGAGACTGTTCCTCATCTAGAGTCCTTTGATAATCTCGGTTTTTGTCTGCAGGACGGTCTCCTTTTAAACAGTATTCCATATGGGGTCTTTCCATGGAGACCTGATGCTGGGCTGCGTGCTGTGATATATGCAGCTGTTTGCATGGCATCTACCCAAAATGACTTTGGGAGCTTGGAATCATGGAGCATAGTGGTTGCTAATGTAGCCAATGTCTGATTCATGCGTTCTGCAATGCCATTTTGTTCCGGAGTATCTGCAGCTGTAGTTCCTTGGATGACACCATCTCCTCGTGTCAGGCAACAAATACAAAGCTATATAACAAAACACAATGCCTGGTCAAGTCCTTGCTGGAAGGCGGTGAATTAGGGTATGAGGTTGAAGAGTATCGGTATGAGCGCAAATCCAAACTAATATTGAACTAGAGAACAGTACATCGAGTATGTACTTCTTTATATAGTGAACGGCGATGGTCAGACCGAGAAAGGGAAGAACTGAGAAAGTGGTCTGACCTGTCAGCTAACCAATAAGAAAAAAGGAGAAGGTGGTCCGATCTATCATATTTACTAATCGTATGAGAAAATGTATTGGTAAGGGATGTGTGATTGGCTGTATCAGTAAGCCCATGAGAAGGCGCTGACTCACAACCTTCTTTGCTTATCAATATTCCTCTGAAGTATTCCCAGACATAGCACTGGATCGTGGCTATGTCATCTGGATATCTTCTTGAGGGTCTACAACAAGTCTCCTTTGTTGTAGGTACGATAGGACGTGAGTGTGAATAGAGAATAAGAAGAAAAAGGATAAAAGTAATAAAACACCTGCTGTAATCTCTAGTCCAAGGGCAAGAGTAGTGACAGGGATCGAGTCTGCTAACCACGACATGACGGGAATGCGATAAGAAAAATCGATTCCTCACACCTCGGAGTTGATTTTTGAATGCATTGCTAGTATATTTTCCTCCCCCATCGCTCCGGAGGAATTCTGTGTATAGTGGAGTGAAATTTTCTTCTCCCAAATGAGTCCGGAAGAATGTTTGGACATCTTCTTTCCATTGCTTGTATCGTTCCAGTGCTTCACTTTTATGTTTTAGGAAATATATCCATGGAAATTTGGAGAAATCATCTACAATGATAATCCAGTACTGGAAACCCTCCCTGGAAGTTGGTTTGATTGGTCCTCCAACATCTGTGTGCACAATTTGTATGGGGCGCTTGGCTCGGTTTCCTCCAGTGGACTTGAAAGGTAATTTCTTCATCTTTCATAAAGCACAAGGTTCACAAAACTCCGGGGTTCCGGTAAGGGTGTCTATGTCCTGGAGCTGTCTTTTTGTAACCATTCGTTGCAAGTGGTCCATTCCAATGTGTCCCATTCTCCTGTGCAATAAATTTACATCTACTGCGGCAAAAGCTGACTCCGGGTTGATTTCGGGTTTTGCTTGGATGTGATAAAGTCCTCGCTTGTGTAACGCAGTGAGAATAAGTTCCTCCTTTTTCCAAACTTCACAAGCATTTGACCCTGCTGGAAAAAGTGTTGATAACCCCGTTTTGGACAATTTGTGGACAGAGATGAGTGCTAACGTGAAGTTTGGCACAAGTAAGACATTTGACAGTGTAATAATGTGATCCTTTTTGCCAACGGTTGCTTGTAGGATTACTGTTCTAACGCCAATGGCATTTACAGAGGATTCATCCCCAAAACTGATTGTCCTCGGAGGATGCAGAACATGGTATGTTCCTGGCTCAAACCAGGAGCGGTGAGGGACCATGTGGGATGTTGCTCCGGAGTCAATAATAATTGTTGTTTTGGTCTTATTGGGTTCCGACACAAGGTAAGCTTGAATGCATTTAGCAAGGGGCTTGGAAATATGTACATGATCCAATGCAATATGACTCTGTTCCTCCTCGGAGTCAGATCCGGATGATTGCTCTGCTGTATTTTCCTTTCCCTTCTTCCTTTGACCTTTTTCAGCTGACTGAAGTGTTCAACACTCCAAGGTGTTGTGTGATTTGGCTTTGTGGAAGTTACACCATTTCTCCTCGGATTTGAGTGCTGATTTGGAACCTCCAGGGGCCTTCCCTGACTGTCGTGCAACTTCTGCAGTGATCCGGATCTCAACTGCATCAAAGGTAAGTTTATTTTCTTCAATCCTGTTGATTACTAATGACTGAAATATTTGCCATTCAGGAGTGCATGGGAGAGATTGGAGAAGAGCGAAAGCCATAAGTTTGGTATCAACTCCTAGTTTCATTCCGGAGAGGTGTGAATCAATTGTCCGGATTTTCGCAATGTGGTCCTGGATAGGTGATGTCCCATCCCAGGACAATTTGGTGAGTTGCTGGAATGAATAGAAGGCCGAGGCAATGTTGGACGTCTGATGGAGTGAGACAAGTTTATCAAATAACTCCTTGGAGCTGGTGAGGTCTCCAGTCCTCATTAGGAGGGCATCAGAGATGTGGTCCTGGATGATTCCATGTGCTTTCTCATCCTTAAGTATCCAGGTGATTTCAGGACCCTCCGAGGAGGTAGGTTTTCCTGGTGAGGGCTTAAGCTCCTCTCCAGTAACAACCTGGAGAACCTTTTCCCGACGTAGCTTTGAGATGATCCGGAGTTTCCATATCTGAAAATTGTTGGGTCCAGTGAGAACTGGACATGCGGATGTATCACGTGCTGTGGTCATGGTTCCGAGGTTACCGTTTCAAATAAGAATTATTTCCTGCGTAGCTTTTGCGCACCAGTGTAACAACCAAGAGTTAGTTACTCTGGCGCACATAGAAACACACTATAAGGAAGATGGATGGGGAGTGGTTACCCCTTAGGCTGCATTGAGTTTGTTGGTTAACAACAGGAGGACTCGCTGAGGAGTCTCCTGGATCTATTGGGGTATATATACTAATACAGTGTTGTTTGTACATGTGTACTATACAGTTGATAGAGACAGTGGCTGATGATGTCATGGGGCCTAGCCCGCATGGCCAGCTCCGCTGTGTGAGAGAGCTGTGTCTAAAATAAGAAGAAAGGCAACGCGGCGCAAGAAGGAGGAGTTTGGACAAAAGGGGAAGTGCTGCATGGCACCCTGTGTGAAAGCTAAAGTACAAGGTTAAAGCGGAGAATAAAAATAAAGGAAAGGTCCGAAAATTGTGTTTAGGAAATTGAAGCGGAGGAAGGACATTGCATGTGAAAGAAGGGCCACCCATTGGAAACGATGGATCATGCGATAGATGTGGTGGTGGATAAAATCGTTGCAATGATGGTTGAGCTGGTGGGTGAGACATGTGGGATGATGATGGATGATACGGTGTAACTTAGGATGCCAGGCCTTGAAGAGAAGGTTCAGCAAATAGTGGAAAAGAGAGCTCTCAAGCTTACCATCCTCATCGCCTTCCAAAACCTCATATGATTGCTGCGAACCTTGGTCAGAATTATTCAACGACATCATTAAGAGGGCAGTAGTGAAATAGTCTGAAAGTGAGTGATGAGGTTTAGTGTACGTGGAATTCGTTTGAAGGGTAAGTATATTCAACTCGAGGCATGCCTCGAGGCTGCTTGGCTGCATGACTCAAAACAACAAACACATCAATTGGTTAAAGAAGTAAAGTGACATCGGAGGAAGACGAGCAAAGAATAGCATACAGACGTAACATCAATGCGAGATGAAAATAGAAAACCGGCCGACTGACTTGCCCATCAATTCAAAAGGAGTCCGCTTATTTTTCTTCACAGCCAGCTTATTCTGCCAATTCCACACCCTTGACGCTCTCCTCTTCACTGTCACTGTTTTGGTCCTCGTCCTCAAAAGCTGTCATTGAATGAGGAGGAGAATTGGGAGAATCACGGGAATGAGAAACCATCTCATTGGCGCTTTCATTATCAGATGACATTGCATGAGGCGTGACTGATTTAGACCTTGCATCAGATTGTGAAAGGGGTGAAGGGGTTCAAAAACGCCAAAGGGCTAAAGTGGTGTTTTCCTCTGTGTCGGATTCTGTAATCCCGTCTGAGGTGTATTCAGCATTCCCCTCTGTGTCAAATTCCCCAATCTCAGCTGCGGTAAATTCATCAACATTCTCCTTTAAGTCATGTTTGTCGCCATTGCAGAAACCTTCATCAACCAAAGGTTGAAAGCCGAGGGACTCCAAATTCATCAGGTCACCCTCATCCACAACAATTCCCTTCTGGTGCATGTATTCCTCCATGCCCTCTACATCGGAATCTCTTTGAGTGAGAGCCTCTGTGCTGGAATTCAATAGCTCCCTATAAACATTTGCAGTTCTTGAAGATTCTACGACCCCCCATGCATATAATTGCACCTGGCAGCGGAGTTTCTCTTGTCCTGCCCTCTGTGCATGATATGCCTCACACACTGCAGAGTCAGGCATATCTCCTAGTTCAGTTAAATTACACTGTGTAAAGTATTGATCAACACATGGTAGTAAGTTTGAATGGTGGAACAGACCTTGTACTCGTACATCTTGTTCCTAGATAAGTGGTGGCATTCGGGCAAATATGGTGGAGGTGAACAAATGGGTGATGAAAATGATTTGAAGCCATTGGGATACGGGGTATATTGACACCTCTTGCGATCACTGTAGCGCTTCTGGTCATGTTTACCACCGCTTGGTACTACAAGAGAGCTGAAGGAAGGATCAGAGTCAGGTAAGGGAGGGGGAGGTGTCGTGATGCGAATGTGATTGTCTCGAGGTTGAAATTCAAATGGTGCATCGAGAGTTGAAGTTACTGGCATCTCAGGATGATTTGAAAGCTGCTCAGTAGCTCCCATAGTGGTAGAAACTGTGGACATTATGCCAGTTATGATGTTATTGGAAAGAAATGTGATAGTCGGAGTTCAAAAGACTCAGCAGATTTGTATTCTTGAGCTGCATATGCATACCTATTACCCACTGCCTGGACCACTGCAATTTATTTGATGAACTCAATAACCTGCCCTACAGGCCGTTGTAATAACATATTTCAGGACTTGGAAGAGGTTGCAGCGCACCTGAATGATCCATTGCAAAGTTGTGTAAGGTCTCTTGAAGAACTCGAAGATATTCAGCAGCACCGCTTACACCAACAGGACTCTTCATCGTCTGGTCAACAACGTGACTCCTCTTCTGGTCAAAAAAGGGGGGCATTTGAATATCATCCTTTTTCTGGCTACTCGTATGGGATAGGACAAAACCTTTTCGAGCAAATGGACAGCAATGTTTACTCGCATTATCGGCTCAAAAATCACTTCTGGCCTTTCGCTACTAGAGCCAAATGGGAACTTGCAAGGTTCCTGGTCGAAAAGCTGAACCACACGGAGATTGATGAGTTTTTGAAACTTACATGGGTACATAATGTGATTGTTCGTGTATCATGATATTATTTGGCTGATAAGATTGCAGACTCAAAACCCTAGAGCACCGATGTTTCAATCGGCGTATCATCTCTCCAATTTCATGGAATACTTACCGAAAGGGCCAAAATGGCACTCGCAAACTATCAAAATCGAAGGATATCCGACAACAAAGCCAATGAAACTGATATGGCGGGATGGCTTGGAAGTTGTCAACTGCATCTTTGCAAATCCCGTTTTTGCCAATCACATGATGTTAGACCCCAAGAAAATGTATAGGATTTCTGAAGATAGCGAAGAAGAGAGGGAATACAGCAAGTTCATAACCGCTGATTACGCATGGGAACTACAGGGAAGTCTTACATTCACCTTAAATATACGGTCAAACAATCTCAATCTCTATCACAGGATCAGTATCCTCATGGTGCAACAATCCTTGGCGTAATTGGCGGCTCAGACAAGACCATTGTAACGCGAGGCACTGGAAACTTGGAGATGCATCCGACTTTCTTTACACTTGCAAACATAAATTCGGAAGTTCGCATGAAAGCCACCTCTCATGCATGGATGTGTAAGGCTATCATGCCGACGCCAGTCTTCTGTGATGTCCATTCTGAAATCCAAACACTTCTCGAAGCATGGCTATGGCATCGCTGCATGGATATTATCAGCTGCAATTTAAAGCATGCGGCTAAGTACGGCCAGCTAGCTCCTGACCCTCATGGTGTTATACGAGCGACATTCACGCCGCTCGTCGCTTGGACCGCCGACCTACCTGAACAGCAGCTTATTGCATGTACAAGCAAGAGTGCCTCCCCTATTTCCACCGCCACCACAGCCGAGTTTGGTGACACTTATCCTCACACTCCTCGCACATACTCTTGACCTGATACACCAGCTGGATGCAAAGGGCCTTGACCTGTGGGATCTGGCTATATACCTTCCCGCTGCAAAAAAGTTGGGACTATCGGCTGTAAACCAGCCCTTCTGGTACGACTGGCATCTTGCTGATCCTTCAAAATTCCTTGTCCCTGAGCTCCTCCACACTAACCACAAGTTTTTCTTCAATCATCCGCTGGTATGGTGCAAACATGTGGTTGGAAAGGAGGAACTTGATGCTCGTTATATTGACAAAACCGGATAAACCCGGTCTCTGCCGAAGCAGCCAGTGTTCTCCTAGGAGCACAATTGTACTCCTAGGAGTCATTATACTGTAGCGAGTAGCACCTCCAACTATAAGTAGTAGGGGGTTTAGTATAGAAATACCTCAGTCGTTTCTATAGCCTCTCGGGCAGCGGCTGAGTTTCACTTAGTTTTATTATATATGAGCATGCATATCCGCATCGGGTTTTGACACTTTAGCAACGGGGTCTCCTACATGAGACAGATGACGGGTTGCAAACATCGGGACATTCAGAGGACCATTGCCTGTGCAACAGCTGGAGCTGCACCCCCTGGTTTTATCTGTACCATCTGTGCGCTTGTAGATTTCATCTACCAAGCTCAGGCACCGGTTTACACAAAAAAAACCATTCAGGCCATGGTCTCGTCTCTGCAGGAATTCCACTGCAAAAAGCAAGCTGTCCTTGATGCTGGGGGTCACCATGGAACCAAAGGAAACATTCTCAATCATTTTCAAATTCCTAAACTTAAGCTATTTCAGCACTTTGCGTCATCTATCAAGAGCATGGGCTCTCTTTTGCAGTACACCGCCGATGTCACTGAGAGGCTATTGCTCACGCACTGCAAACGGCTGTTTCTTGCCACAAATCACAAGGATTATGGGGAACAAATGGTTTGTGTATGGGGAACAAATGGTTTGTGCACTCAATACGCTCGAAATGAGTCGTTTATTCCACCTCCATTCGGTTCTGCGAGAACATGGGGCCAGTCTGGTAAACTATGTAGTGCAACAGGAAAATGACATCATAACAGAAGTCAGCCCAGAGAACGCCTGGCTACATCATATCTTACCAAGTGAGAAGCCTATGCATGGACCACGTCCTATACGCAATCATTTCCTGAAAGGTATTCTTTCAGATGACTCAACTTGCACATTCCATGTAAATGTTTCAGCTAGCATACCTATCATCTCAGTGGACAATGCTGCACATCAATTTGGCCTCGATGATTTGCGCCCTGCCCTGGCTGATGTAAGATTCCTATACCCTATGCCGAGTTAACGAGTTAACGGAGGTATAAGTTTCAAGAATCAACAAGTAGCGTCAAGCACTGTATTTAGAGGTAATCAACAACTGAGGAAATGTATGTACATGGGTGTTGGTATATATATGTTTCTGAAGGTCAGCCATGAGGCGCTGACTGACGTTGTGCGTCATAGTCTAGGCTTTGTCACGTGGTTGTCACGTGATTGGATATAACTAACTACTTTGTTTACATAATGAGTCATGTGCTTTTGCCACATGATCAGATATATTCAAATAATGAATCAAAAGAAACTAGCGGTTTTTGACTTGGATCGTAACAGCTGATTACTACCACCAGCTAACTTATCACTTGTGAAATGGCCAGCGTCATTCATCCTTGAATAATGCCTTTCCTTTCAATTACTTGGAGGTGTGGTTTCAATTCAAGATGCAGCTGTTTTCGGCTCACCGTGACAATGTTATCATGCCAGCGCAAACAATCCGAGCGCTGCCTCCCGATCCAACTATGCCTTATGGAACTTTGGATACCGTCCTCGCGCAAGACTGGCAACATGACTCGAGTGCTGGTATTAAAGGCAAGCATTTTTATTATTGCATGTTATAATATCTAACATCTTCTTAGGAACTCGCCCGGCACAAGTTCGATTAATATTCAAGATTAAACCGCCCCACGGACAAGCTCTTCCTCTCCTCTGCAGCCACATCTCATCTACACTCAGAGTTTCCAGTACGCTGGGGCAAAAGATGCAACCGGGGTCCATGTTGAAGAACCGAATGTCAATATGTTTCTCGTTAAGAAACATAAGCATGCAGGCACAAATACGAGGGTTGGGGATATTGTTGCGTTGAAGGACATTCTGCATCCCATTGAACTAATTCCGGTGTATGGAGAAAGCATATATTCCCACCTCAATCCTACAAACTCACTTGAGTTACCTGAATTTTCTATGTTAATAACTTTGCGGACAAAGAGATTTATCACACTTTTTTGAGAGAATTTGCGTAGTAGCGGTTAATTTGTATTTAGATCTGTAAACTACATCGCTATCTATTTTTTTGATCAATCAATCAGTCTGTCTAAGATAATCGCCAGTTGCCTAGATTATCTGACGACTTATCGACAAAGGATAATGCCCAGCGCCCACAAAACATCCATATGTGGATACCTAGAATTGATTGACCAATCAGAGAGTGTTCCGAGACCTTACATACAGTTGCGTTATCACTTATTCCTCAGCGCAGTTTTTCTGTTTTGCAGATGCAGATGACGGTACGGTATGGGGCCCCCCTTGGAGGTGCGAGATGGCGCCAACGAAGGCATCAATGAGTCCTCCCAAGTCTATGCGTATGCATACTGGCGTCTCATGTAGTGGCGTGTGGCATGTGCGCGTGGGGAGAAAAGTTGTAGAGTAGAACGCATGCCAAGTGCAGCGTACGATGCAGCAGAGCTTGGACGCAAAGTCTGCAGTCTGCAGTACGGGTGTGAAGTGAGAAGCTGCAAGAACGTATGACTGGGGGGGATTTCACACGTGAGTTATATCTCATTGCATCCATGAGACTCGTATTCAACAGCGGTTGAAAAAATACAACTTCAAGTGTCATCATCCTGTTCCGAGTCCAACTGTACAACCACATAAAATAATAAAATAACATATATTGTCAGTCAGCAGGTTCCCTCGTCGGTTGACATCAAATGCGGGTCGGTGAAAGCTTCTGCCACTATACATACCATACCTCAGTGCACCCTTCCAGGAAACAGTCAACATCCACACTAGATGCCATGATCACAAATATACGCAACTATAAATAAACATGGGTAACAACGAGCGGGAAAAGGGAGGGCTGTGATGATACTGATACACAGAGCAGTCAAGCGCTGAAATGAAAAAGGGTGAAAAGAGCAAAGATGTGGAAAACTGTAAGAGGGGAAGGAACGTGATTGGACCAAGGGGGGACAAAATGGAAAGCTGTGAATGGAAGAACGTGTATACTGATTGTGAGCCCAACACGTCAAACGCCCATCGCCAAACGTCGGAACCACCCCCTGACACCCTCCCTTCCCGGTTCCACAGCTCAGCCCTCAGCCTTCAATCACGGGTTGCGATTGCGTTTAGACGATCTGTCACCATTGGATTTGGTGGGAATTCAAGGGTGTGGGGGAGGCAGTGTGCGCGTGTCGAGTACGGAAACTTGGTGTAAGACCGAGCGTTGCGGTGTGGATGCCAAGGAGGGGGATCGCAAGTGACAAATACGAAACATCTCCGCACACCTTCACACGTGTGCTCCTATCAGTATGATCCCCTATGCCCTGAGAGCCTCCATCTATCCCCACTCCTTGAAATTCAAAAGGTGGGGAGAGTGATTGAGTGTGGATGATGCCCCACCTCGCATTTTTTTTCTCCCTGACCGCTCATTCACGCCGCAACCTTGCACCGCTTCTTCAGCTGCTCCGCCTCCTCGCTGCTGCTGGCAGCAGACCCGACAAGGCCACCACTATGACGCATGCCTAGCCTCGAGCGGGAACGCATCCTGGGGTGGGCCCTGCGCGGCGGGGACTTGACGTTCTTGGAGTGGGAGTGTGCGCCTTTGTGATTATCTGCATTTGCATCGACAGTGGGTTTCTTGGCCGGCCTCTTTGAGGATGGACGCGCGCGGGAGCGGGGGGCGGTGCGGGCTCGGGAGGGGGAGGTGCGATTGACATTGACGTCCATGGTGCTTTGGTCTGTATCGCTCACTGCCCCCTTCCTCGCACCCGCACCTGTCTTTCCACTGGGCGTATCCTGGACCTTCGACCTCAACGTCTGTTTTCGGATAGGCTTCGATTTTGAGGTAGGCGCGGGGTTGGAGGGAGAGGGCTTGTGGAGGGTGGTGCTGAGGGTGCGTTTGGGAGGTCTGCCGCGCGTGCTGGGGACACTTTTGGACATCGATTTGACACTCTCCACGTCTGTGTCTGCCCCTGCCTCTCCACGTCCGTGTCCGCGTGTGTCCGACCCCCCTCGTTGTTCCCTCTCCACAATCTCCTCAACCCCGCTATTCTCCGGGCCCTCAGTCCCCTCCTCCTCTTCGCTTGCCGTATGACATTCGTGCAAGTTTGACACCTTGCGAGAGGCCCGTTTGCGTGTGGAGGGTTTGGTGGTGGGGAAGTGGGAGCGGATGCCGTGGCAGTTAAGTTTGAGGCAGGAGACGAGCTTGTCGTGGTGGATGGTAGAGTCTACACGGAAGCGTGCACGTTTTGGGTCTGTCTGCAGGACGATATCAATAGTAGTTAGTTGTGTAATAAAAGAGAGAAAACAGGGGCTCACGGTGTGTTTGCCCTCGTAACACCAGCCATCTGGGGGGCCCATATTGCCATTGCCCTCGACGGTCTTGCCGCAACACGCCCAGAGGGTCTCGTACTCTGCACTGATCTCGCCCCGCTTCCTACCTGCACCTCGCCCGCCCCATCCTAGATGCTCAACCTCTGCGCTGTCATCGTCGTGGGGGACGAGGCAGCTGGTGATCGGTTGTATTTGATGTTCGAAAAAGTCCGGAATGGCCGGCTTGGGCTTTTGGAGACGGAGGGAGTCGCAGGAGCCGACGGTGGGGAGGGTGTGGGGGGAGAAGGGGTGGAGGGACGACGATGGGGAAGAGGGAGAGGAGGAGGGGGAGGGAGGGAGGTGGGAGAGGATGTAGGGGTGGAGGATCTTGGGGGGGATGGAGCGATGTCATGCACCAAAGTTGATTGGTAGCATGGACAGGTGTCAATAACGAAGCAAATATTCAAAAAGACTCGCCTTTGCGCCACACAGGCACAGTGCCACATGGAATAGTAATTAATATTGCCCTTTTCGAACTTGTGGCTGATCAGCACCACCTCTATTAGGCAATCCAGTCACGCTCACCTTTGCTTTTCCATCCGGTACTTTCCGCGTTTCGGCATTTTGGCAAATTTTCGCGTCGCCACTGGCTACACATTGCATTGCGCCCTCGCTTTTGTCGTTTCCCTTACTCCCCTTCCTTTGCCTAGCCCCACCATGGGCCCCTTCCTCTCCTTTTTATTCTCACCTGACGGTCGTTTCTGGGTCCCCATTCTAATCCACTTGTTTGTCACCTCCACCCTCCTCCTCCTCATTTTATTTGCACCCCCACCATTTCTGATGTCACCACTTCCTATCCGCTTCCGTCGCCAATCCGTTGACTACCATGTGCCACTGCTGATATCAGCAAAGCCCCGGCGGCCGGTCCAAATAGGGCAACAGGTCCATCTTCATGACGTCAATCTGCCATCATATACTATCAAAACATCGGTCACTCGTCTTGCCTGGTTGGAGCGTGGGTGGGTAGTTTTTGAGCTGGAGAAGGTTCATCCCCTTGCGTCGCCCATGTTCATCGCTGTCCCATTCACTTGGGTACACTTATCTTTTGTCCATCGTCTTCGCTACAGCTACACCTACCACATGCCGCCTGGGACTCACTTGTTCCAAATTGGAACTACTCCCCTCCCTCCCTCGTTTGACCAGGTGGTCCAACACAACCAGTCCATTGGTAAGGCCATGGAACCGTCGGATTTGGACTAGGTGGTGGACCGGTGGCTCCAGTTTCTTTTTTTTCAGCAGAACATTCATTTGCAGTGCAATTATTTTTGATTTTTGAATCATTTTTATGGACACATATATTTTTAGAATGCCTGACTGACAATAAAGGAACTGTGTTGATACTGATAGTGTTTTGCCTTGCCCTTTTTTTACTGCATCTTCCCATGACATCATGATTTTCCTGCTCTCTTTTTGCTATTGGACTTTACTTTATGGCTATACAAACCTGTGACATTACTCACAGCACTCATTGTTCTATCCCTTTCTTTTCCTTTTTTTGACAATCTTATCCTGTACTACCTACGCAGGATTCGTCAGTGTACATTCCTTCCTTCATGTTCTTTCTCATTCTTTTTGCACAGCTATACTGTGCATAGCCTACATTTCTTTTACTATATAAACCCCTGTATTTTACCTTGTAAAAAAAAAAACAGAACAAGAAATCCAATCCAGACTTCTTCTCTACTCTCAAGTTCACTGCTCTGCTACTTGTGATCCAGTGTGGTCACAACACTTCCCACTTTTACCACTGTCAACTGCTGTCATCGTCACTTCCCACTTTTGAAGTCATTGTCATCCCTTTCGATTAGAGTCCTTCTGAGCACTACAGTTTGTGCATCAGGAGCCTGCTATCACTGGGAACCTCATCATATTGTCGTTCTCAAACCTACCTTGTGCTACGATTAGCAAGGTAGTGCTCGTCTATACTCGTCACAAAGCCCCTATCCTTCTATAAATTCAACTATCCCTCCTCCTCAAAACCCACACTCATACACCTCTGGGTTTTACTTTGAAGGATCTTTATACGTACCACCCCACGAACAACCAGACCACTCCACTGTTCTAGGAGGCAAAGCCCATAAACAAGTTCCGTGGAATCTGGGAGGATTGTGTGTTAGTTTGTTTTGTGTGTGGTTTTTCTAACTGCAGTTCTCATCATCGACAGCGGATGAGGTTGCGGAGGGCTGAGAGGTCTGCGTCTGTGTGTGGAGGGGAAGGAGGGGCGGGGGAGAGCATGTGTTGGGGGTTGGGTGCTGAGGCCGAGTGTGTGGAGGGAGAGGGAGTGCAGAGTTGGATGGGGGAGGGAGAGTTGTGTTGCTGGGATGGCTTGCGTGAAAAGAGACCAAAGACCATTGTGAGCTGAGTGGAAGTGAAAGGGAGGGTGGTGAGTAGATAAGTGACAGGGATCGGTGGCCACGTGCCCACTCAGGAACACCACTCATTCACTGCGGCGATGGCACTCAACGACATGGACTCAGAGTCTCTACAACACGTACGTCATTCGCTGTAGCTGATACGTCACTGACTCTCCCCCAGCTGCTCTCTGACACTCGCACCAGCCCGCCACTCACGCTCGGCCCCGTCTCGCTCAAAGCTGGCCATGTGGTCGAGATCCAAGGCCCGTCCTCGTCTGGAAAGAGCCACGTGCTCTACCACATCCTCGCCCTCTCCCTCCTCTCCTCCACCGACGCAGCCGTCGTCTACGACACAGACCACGCCTTCAGCATCCCCCGCCTCCGCTCTGTCCTCCTCGCCCGTTTACATCTCCAACCTCGTGTGGATGCCTGTCTGAAGAGGGTCCACGTGTTCAGACCCTCGTCCTCCCTCCACCTCGCAGCCTCCATCCGCGCTCTGCCCTCCTACCACGCCCGCTCCATCCCACACACCCGCATCGCACTCCTCATCCTCGACTCCCTCAGCCCCTTCTACTGGTCAGACAGGTTCACAGCGGAGGAACACCGCGCCGTCCCTCTCACCGTCGAATCAAGCACTGACACTGCTACGGCGCGCGTGAATAGGACACTGCACACCGTCCCTCTACACGCCGTCCTCGCCTCCCTCCAGCGTCTGCGCGCCTCCCATCGTCCCCTTATACTCTATACTAACTGGGCTCTCAACCCTCTCCCTGACGCCTCTCTTGATACCATGGCCTACAAACAGCACCTCCACTTTCTCTCTCCCCACTTATCCTCGCTCCTCCCTCTCACTTATCACTTCACTCTCCCCCTCGCGCCCTTCAACCCCCGCGCACACCCGCAGCTCGTCCCTATCACAGCAGATTCAGGCGAAGAGCCACCAACGGATGGCACGCGCGTGCTGTGTCTCCTCAGGACGCCCGGCCATCCCGACGTCATCAACAGGTTCACCTTTCGAATCACCCACAACGACGTCATCTTCTAGTCCTACCCGTTCCCCTCCTTGCCAACGTTCACCGTGTACACCCTCGACGTCTACCTTCCCTCCGTCTGGCATGCATTCGCTTCTATCAAATGTAATGTCTAATGTGCCAATTAGCAGAGCAGAGCAAGTTGGCGTCTCCAACTATGCCTCTGGCATTTTTAAACTCGTCATGTTAACTTCGACGTCTATGGTATGCGTAGCCGTGATATAATCCCTGCCTTTTGCTTATCCCGGTGGCTGAGTACAGAGTCCATATCTATTTGTCTGCCTACTGACCCATATTAGCCCAAAATCCACGTCCTTCATGTCTCACAAAACTTAATCCCTCTTCTATCTTTGGGTTCCATACCTCGCCTTTTTCTTCTTGCCATCCGCGGGGCCTGTTACCGGACGGGTACGTCCAGCTTCGAAACTTGCCGTCCGAGTCATCAGATATCAGTTCCACGTCTCCCCAGCTCGTCTAACCCACTTTCCAAGTTGCCCTTACCTCAATCGCGTCCTTCCCCTCTGCGCACCTGGACTCTGGGATTCTGTATGTTGTCATACTTTTGCGAGTTTGAGAAAGAACGAGGCGTGTGCACATCTCCGAGTTATCACCTGAATCTGGACGTTCTTGGATGCCTACTGGGCGTTTTATGCTAAGGTGTGACCGTGCAGATACACCTCTTTCCTCAATCGGGTGCCTCGGGTGCCTTTTATCGAGACGACTAGTGCACCTTTTCATTTCGTTCGTTCATGCATTCATTCATTCATTCGTTCGGTTGAGTGTATTGATGATGATAAGGCGGTTGATTCTGGTACGGTTGGTGGTGATGCGTTCTGGTCACCTGATCGACGATTGGCGATTGACGATTTTTATGGCGGTTAGTGGGCTGGAGGTGACGACCCGCCTTTGCTTTCTTCCTCTTCCTCTTCTTCTTCTTCTTCTTCTTTCTGGGTTTGCAGGTAAGCTAAGCTAATAATTGGGGATGGGCTTTCGAGGAGGAATTGGAATGGAACTTCGATTCTGATGCGTGATGCGTGAAGGCTCAAAGCAAAGTGGGTGTTTGGGTTGTAGGTGCAGGTGAGCGTTCTCGTTGGTTAGATGGGTTCTCCTTCAAGGTCGAGGCCTTGAGGGGAGGAGGGAAACACAGAGACCGAGGGCCTGAAGCTGAAGAAGCCAACACGAACAAGGTCCACGAACGAAGGGGCGGTCGCTGCGTATCTTGACATGATCTGATTTTTCGATACTTGGGACGGGTGTGTGTGTGTGTATGTGAGAGAGAGAGAGAGATGCCTTGCTTTTTTTATTTTGTCTGCGGTCTGATTATACTGTGACCGCGATATACCCAGCCTCGTGGGTTACGAGGGGGAAGCTTGAGGTCGAGTCTCAAGGGAGGGAGGGAGAGGTGGGATGCTAGTTCTGCAGGTAGCGGTGCGAGAGTGGTCACGGTTATGTAGCGAGGCCCCGTCTGTGGCTATCGAGGTAGGAGTCACTAGTACCTCCTTCCCACCGCATGAATCCTTTTTCTTTTCTTTTCTTTTCTTTTCTTTTCTCCCCCCCCCCCCCCCCGAGCTTTCAGGTCAATCTGAAAACTGTCACAAAGCCGTGGAGGACTTTTTAACAGCCGCGAATATGAAAGAGGTCGGTGGGGAACGTGAGGGTTTGTCATGGTCATGCGGTGTTTTCACTGTCATTGGCACTGGCAACGCGACCAAGGCAAAGGCGTGCCCCACGAACGCGAACACGTTGCAAGATAGATGTCCTTGATAAATGTGTGAGTGACACCTCTCTTTTTGAAGAAGGCTATCTCGGTAGGTCTGCTTGTAGAAATTATATTACATAAGTGAACTTCGGAGCTTCGCCTGAAGCTTTACTCTGTGGTTACAACCGGCCTTTTGTGGCTATCATTGTCTTTCACATGATATTTACATATGTTTGTTATATAAGAAGCATGTATTTACGTTGTTACGGTATTTGTTTGCCAAAAGAATCCTTCTCCCGTGCCTGTTCCCGCGCCCTGAGGGACTGAATATCCAACACTGCTGGGAATGTCCCCCCACGTGGGCTACCGTTTACATTAAGAGAACAGTGTTGAGGGGATGCGTGATGCATACCGTTGTAACACATGACGTTTCCACACTGTATGGTGTCCGAACCTTTGAGCTATTCCTGTGAATCACGATCTTGCACCGTGGTTCACGGGAGTTTTTTCTAAGATTGTTTTCAGGTAAAATCGACTCGGGGCTTTTACAGTAAAGTACGTAAATCACTCACTCACTGTGATGTATCGTCATCCAAGACTTGTCCTCGTCTGAAAAGATTCATGTGCTCTACTACCTCCTCGCCCACCCCTCCACGCCCGATGTCATGCACCAAAGTTGATTGGTAGCATGGACAGGTGTCAATAACAAAGCAAATATTCAAAAAGACTCGCCTTTGCGCCACACAGGCACTGTAACAACCAAGAGTTATTTACTCTGACCCACACAGGAACACACTATAAAGAATATGATGGGGAGTGGTTACCCCTTAGGCTGCAGTGAGTTAGTTGTGCTAGACAACAGGAGGACTTGCTGAGTCCTTCCCCATGTATTGCTCTTGTATATATACTAAAATACATGAGGTACTGTACAGTTGTAAATAAAGTTCAAAGTCCGATGTCTAGCATGTGACCAGTCACATGACTGGTCATGTGACTATGAAAAGTCGAAAATGTAAAGTAAAGTAAATGGTCACATGACTGGTCATGTGACTTGGAAAATAAAAGTAGAAGTACAAAAGTGAAGCGTAAGTAGGTGCTGGTATGTTAATTGTAACAGGCACAGTGCCACGTGTAATAGTAATTAATATTGCCTTTTTCAATCTTGTGGCTGATCAGCACCACCTCTATTAGGCAATCCAGTCACGCTCACCTTTGCTTTTCCATTCGGTACTTTCGGCATTTCGGCATTTCGGCAAATTTTCGCGTCACCACTGGCTACACATTGCATTGCGCCCTCGCTTTTGTCGTTTCCTTCACTTCCCTTCCTTTGCCTAGCCCCACCATGGGTCCCTTACTCTCGTTTTTATTCTCACCTGACGGTCATTTCTGGATCCCCATTTTAGTTCACCTCCTTGTCACCTCCAGCCTCCTCCTCCTCGTCTTCTTTGCTCCCCCACCATTTCTGATGTCACCACTTCCTATTTGCTTCCGTCGCCGATCTGTTGACTACCACGTGCCACTGCTGATATCAGCAAAGCCCCGGCGGCCGGTTCAAATAGAGCAACAGGTCCATCTTTATGACGTCAATCTACCATCATATACTATCAAAACATCGGCCGCTCATCTTGCCTGGTTGGAGCGTGGGTGGGTAGTTTTTGAGCTGGAGAAGGTTCATCCCCTTGCGTCGCCCATGTTCATCGCTGTCCCATTCACTTGGGTACACTTATCTTTTGTCCATCGTCTTCGCTACAGCTACACCTACCACACACTGCCTGGGACTCACTTGTTCCAAATTGGAACTACTCCTCTCCCTCCCTCGTTTGACCAGGTGGTCCAACACAACCAGTCCATTGGTAAGGCCATGGAACCGTCGGATTTGGACTAGGTGGTGGACCGGTGGCTCCAGTTTCTTTTTTTTCAGCAGAACATTCATTTGCAGTGCAATTATTTTTGATTTTTGAATCATTTTTATGGACACATATATTTTTAGAATGCCTGACTGACAATAAAGGAACTGTGTTGATACTGATAGTGTTTTGCCTTGCCCTTTTTTTACTGCATCTTCCCATGACATCATGATTTTCCTGCTCTCTTTTTGCTATTGGACTTTACTTTATGGCTGTACAAATCTGTGACATTACCATTACTTACACAGCATTTATTGTTCTATCTCTTTCTTTTCCTTATTTTGACGATCTTATCCTGTACTACCTATTCAGGATTCATCAGCGTACATTCCTTCCTTCATGTTCTTTCTCATTCTTTTTGCACAGCTATACTGTGCATAGCCTACTTTTCTTTTACTATATAAACCCCTGTATTTTACCTTGTAAAAAGAACAAGAACTCCAATCCAGACTTCTTCCCTAAATCTCAAGTTCACTACTCTGCTACTTGTGATCCAGTGTGGTCACAATACTTCCCACTACTACCACTGCTATCTGCTGTCATCGTCACTCGTCATTTTTGAAAGTCAATGTCATCCCTTTTGATTAGAGTCCTTCTGAGCACTACAGTTTGTGCGTCAGGAACCTGCTATCACTGGGAACCTCGTCACCTCGTTATCTTGTCGTTTTCAAACCTACCTTGTGCTACAATTAGCAAGGTAGTGCTTATCCATACTCATCACAATGCCCCTATCTTTTATCATCCAATGATCCCTCCTCCTCAAAACCCACACCCATACATCTCTGGGTTTTACTTTGAAGGATTGTCATACGTACCACCCCACGAACAACCAGACCACTCCACTGTTCTAGGAGGCAAAGCCCATACACAAGTTCCGTGGAATCTGGGAGGATTGTGTGTTATTTTGTTTTGTGTGTGGTTTTCTAACTACAATTCTCATCATCGACAGTGTTTAGCAAGGGGCTTGGAAATATGTACATGTTCCAATGCAATATGACTCTGTTTCTCCTCAGAGTCAGATCCAGATGATTGCTCCACCGTATTTGCCATTTCCTTCTCTTTTCCTTTATCCTTGTGTCTTTCCTTTCCCTTCTTCCTTTGACCTTTTCCAGCTGACTGAAGTGTTTGACACTCCAAGATGTTGTGTGATTTGGTTTTGTGGAAGTCATACCACTTCTCCTCGGATTTGAGTGCTGATTTGGAACCTCCTGACTGTCGTGCAACTTCTGCAGTGATCCGGATCTCAACCGCATCAAAGGTAAGTTTATTTTCTTCAATCCTGTTGATTACTGATGACTGAAATATTTGCCATTCAGGAGTGCATGGGAGAGATTGGAGAAGAGCAAAAGCCATGAGTTTGGTATCAACTCCTAGTTTCATTCTGGAGAGGTGTGAATCAATTGTCCGGATTTTTGCAATGTGTTCCCAGATAGGTGATGTCCCATCCCAGGACAATTTGGTGAGTTGCTGGAATGAATAGAAGGCCGAGGCAATGTGGGATGTCTGATGGAGTGAGACAAGTTTATCAAATAACTCCTTGGAGCTGGTGAGGTCTCCAGTCCTCATTAGGAGGGCATCAGAGATGTGGTCCTGGATGATTCCATGTGCCTTCTCATCCTTAAGTATCCAGGTGATCTCAGGACCCTCCGAGGAGGTAGGTTTTCCTGGTGAGGGCTTAAGCTCCTCTCCAGTAACCACCTGGAGAACCTTTTCCCGACGTAGCGTTAAGATGATCCGGAGTTTCCATATCTGAAAATTGTTGGGTCCAGTGAGAACTAGATGTGCAGATGTATTGTGTGCTGTGGTCATGGTTCCGAGGTTGCCGTTTCAAATAAGAATTATTTCCTGCATAGCTTTTGCGCACCAGGGCTCATAACCTAATAAAACTAAGTGAAACTCAGCCGCTGCCCAAGAGGCTATAGAAACGACTTTATTATTTACCCAAGTGAAACTACAATAGATGTTAGTTTAAGGTGATCTCTAAT